AACCGTAGGAGGCCCGGCACTGCTCGCCGGAAGTTCTGGCAGGGGCACATCATTCCTTCGATAAGTATTATGGGTGGTTGTCAATATTAGGGTCCCTTTCTGGGTCCCTATTATAGTACGGCACCTAATATTTAGGGCACCCAAAAAGGGGCCAACATTTTGACAACCACCCATATAGGGGTCGGAATCAATACGAAGATTATCCCGTGGAGTCCTTATGTATAGTATTATAAGGTACCCGAAAAAGCTTATACCAAGCACTCAAGGCCCTATAGTTGAGTCTTCGTGTTGCAGCCTATAGGCGGTTCACACCAGCCCGGCCGGAGCACATCGTGTCCATCGGCCTCTGCGTGCACCCTACCGAAAAAATCCCTAAAGCAACAGCGCCAAATGCCGAAAACAAAAGGCATACTTAGTCCTGAAACCAAAAGCCCCAAATCCTTAAACCTAAAGAATTATATAGATCCCGGCAAGTATTGCAAACCTTGGTCCCTAGATCCCAAGCCCTGTAAGCCAGGCAAAACATTCTACTTTCCCTGAACCCTGGTTTAGGGGGACCCTGTGGAACTTGTGGCTTTTTAAGTGTCACTGTCACATAGGGTTTAGGGTTTAGGGTTTAGGATTGTTTCCCGGCAGGCCCTATAACCCCTATCCCAGAACTCTCAATCAAGAGAACCCTCGTAGAGAGCCGAAAAGAGCCCTTCTGGAACCTTCAAGGGAACGTTCCAACAACGTTGGCCCTAAGCGTTGAACCCAAGACCCTCAACCCAATTTCAGGCCAGACCTTTGTGGGTAACCTTCAGAAGGCAACTTTCCGGAAGCATGAAAAGAACAGGCACCCAAAACCCTAAGCCCAAAACCCTGCCTGAGCTTGGAAAGGCGGCGAAACTGGAGAACTTGCTTGGCTCCTGCCGCGAAGGTCTCGGACTCGAAAGCTGCCTCCGCATCCCGAGTATCTTCAAAACCCCTTAGTTGAGAAACATATTTATATGAGTTTATATGTGTATATATATATATATATATATATATAGTTATTATGTATAAACATATACATGTGAAGTTATAGTAGAACAGGTAGTATGATTTCAGATATCTTCCTTGAGTAATGGGTTTTGGAGTCCGGGTCGGAGTTTCAGAAGTAGCGAAGGGGTGTATTTACAGAGCTTTTCAGGTGTCCTGTATAGGGTATTATGGGGTTGTTTGTACAAGTAAGAGGGTCCTAAACCCTAAACTGTAAACCTTGAAGTCCTAAACCTTGTTTCAGAGTTAAGGATCTACAGGGTTTGGCTCTATTGGAAGTTGGGATGACTTACGCCCAGCACCCTTCCGGATTCCACAATCTCTAAATGAGATATCCCTTGCTTTAAGGGTTCGCATAGTACTTGTTCTGATTTGCAACACGCTGCTTTATTCGCTGGGCTTATGGTTGCTGGTACTACAAGGCTTCTCTTGCACGGCGGGATTGAGGTTTGTCGGGTGTTCAAAGCGTTTTCGGGTATAGGGGTTTGTAAATCCTTATATAACTGCAAGAAATTGACGGAATATTCCTTGATTCAAGCGGATATTAGCCCTAAGCCCCAAACTCTACATGATATTCTAAGCCGCGAATCCCGAACTGGGGTGGTCGTGGTTTGAGGCGGGGAAGCTCCCGGTGTCCTTGGACTTCATTGAGGACCGCACCGTGTCGATTAGAAACTGTTTTTCTGCTTGCGGAATTCAGTTTGAGTTATCATAAGCGAGATTTATCGCAAATAAGATGGCTACTTATTCTGGTACCTTACACAAATCCCCTAACTAGAACCCAGGAAATAGAGGCAAGAGGGTTCATGAAGCAACAAGCTTGAGACATAGGAGGGCTTGGCTTGGGGAGTGTAGGGCTAGGGTTTGGGGCTATGAGGCCCTGAGGGTCCATGTACCTAGATAGTATATACATTCGCCTTAAAGTAGTCCCTATATAGGTACATTGGGGCCAATGTATATACTATTTGGGTACATGGACCCTTAGGGAGGACCGCAGTAATTGAGGTCGCTTCGAGTTCAAGTGTTACCACATGACTCCGTATGACAACTGATGCGATAGTCGGGAGTTTTCGAAAATAGGGGGACCTGAATATGATACCCTACACAGTAGGATCCTTATTATAAGGACCCCCAAATAACGTACCCCTTGTATTGCGAAGCTCCCAGTTCTCCGAGGGAAGTCTCCCATAGTCCCAGAACTTGCTCAGGCCGATGGTGCAGCAAGTCAACATGACGGAACGATTTTGACCGGTTGCCGGACCCTAAATCTGCAATATGGGAGGCTGTACAATCATTCCGACAGTTTGATGCCTCCCTAGGCTCTGAGGCGCAATATGTGACTTATGGCATATCTTACAAAGGGAGGGTTTAGGGTGTGGCTAAGGGATATGATATGTATTGGGGTGTCTGAGCCTTAAGGGCTGTAGCATATAGAAGGATTCGTAGTATCCTGGTAAAATTCCCCTACTTACAAGGAACCCTAAACCCTAAACCCTAAGCCCTTTTTAAGGGCCCTTTGGGGACCCCAAGGAGTAGGATGCCATCCCGGAAGGACGCTGCTCTCTTTACCCAGACCCTGAATCACATCGGTCGCAAGGAAGGCCGGGAAGAACGGAAGTGTAAGCTTTCAGGGAGTTGGTAGACTTATTACTGGTGCCTGGTTAGGGGCCCATATATGAAGCATTCTGCCGCTTAAGGCTCGTAATGGGACTTGGGGTTCGGGTGTCGGCGCGAGGGGTGTGTACAGGAGTTGGTGTTCCGTTGCTGTGGGCTCGGGAGTGGCAGGGTCTATCTACCTCCAGCCCCCACAACCTGCCTTGTCATGTCTTGCGTGAGTCACTATAAGGATAAAGACATAACTCACCGCAGAAACGGTCTGCTGAGGATAGATGTTTAGGGCATATAAACTGTGTTTGCTGACGGGTGACTGATGACACGATACCCTTAACCCAGAGGCTCCACACAAACTACCATTATGGAATTAGGTCCCTAAAACTATGGTCTTTTGGGATCATATTCCATAATGGTACTATATGTGGAGCCTCTGGGTAAGTGTTTCGGTCTTTGCTATAGGTGAGCAGCATAAGCAACGCCGGCGCAAACATCAACAACAGTTAATACTGAACGCTAGATCTTCAAACCAACTAAGACCCTGGTCTGTAGCATCTTTTTGGGTTTAGGGTTTAGGGTTGAGGGTTTGAGGTTTAGGGGTTAAGGGTTTAGGGTTTAGTAGCATCTTTTTGTTCTAGATATCCTGTGTTATGGTTTTGATCCTACACATAAGAAACAACCAGGATACCCCGAGAAAGTCACTTCGTTTTAGGGTCCGGGAAAACGCTTCAGCCAAGGCGAACCCACAGTCCCTAGAGCCTGGAGCCTCACTACCAACCCACAGCTTGCAACCGCAAATCCTAAACTCCACGCCCTACAGCGGAAAATCGAAGCCCTGAAGCAGAGATCCTTCCTGTGCAGTACCAGTGGCGTGTTCCAGTTCAGGTTTGTCTACAGGCATCAGTTGCGTTTTTGTTTCGTTTATAGCTAGGCTAGAAAGGCATCCTTGGCTAGCAGAGGAGTGAGCTATACATCTATTTCGCATGGACAAAGGGCAGTCTAGTCTACTGTTACTAAACGGACGACGACAAGTGTTGTACATACTTGTAATATATGTATGCGTGTATATATATATATATATATATATATATATATATACATACATACATGTACATGCCTCTCTGTGTGCGCGCGCCGATTAGGCTTCCTTAATTAAGACTTTCAATGGCTCCTTCTTGCGGGTTCCTTCCGGACTCGATTCCTCTAAGGCCGTACTGTTACTATAGGTTCAGGGTTTAGGAGTTTAGAGTTTAGGGTTTAGCGGTTCAGGATTTAGGCTTTAGGGGTTAGGGGTTTAGAGTTTAGGGGTTTAGGGGTTTACCTAGAGTCTCCATTGTAGTTCCTTTTTTTGGTTAACCAGTTTTATGGTTAGGATCCTACAATAGAAATTTTGGTTAACCAAAAAAAGGAACTACAATGGAGACTATAGGTCCCTAGGGCTCCATGTACCCGTATTCTTTGCTTAGGCCTTAAAAGTACCTATATGGCTAGGACCTAGAGTAGGCCCTTATTCCCTTTTTTAGGGTTCAGGGTATATCTATTCCGACCGTGGGGGGGGGCAGATGAGACTTCGGGCTGAGGTGCTCAAGGCGGTTACGAGCACACTGTATGCTTTGTTTCTCTATGTGCATATATATATATATATATAGATATATAGATAGATGGTACTTATATGGTTATATATATATATATGTATATATAGATACACATGCATATACATATGTAGCAGATACTGCCATAATGGATTCTCTTACTTTCATTGTTCAATGTTGTTAGCCTTGGTGTTGCACTCGTGTTGGCATGGTCGTTTGTGTCGCTTCCTCTTCCATGTTGCCATGTCCGTTGAAGCCTGTAAGCAGCATCGCAGCCCATACCTTTGTCATTCGTGATCGGTTTTGTTATCTATAGCTTTAAAGCTGTATATAGTAGATGATGCCACATTGTGCTTTGCTTTGTCATTTTCAACCCATGCATCGGTATAATCTCGTCCTTTACCATACCGGTGGGGGCCTACACTGAACCGAACCCTTACCGCCTTACACACCTCATCTCCAGGTACCCCCCCCCCCCAGTCCGCAGCTGCTTTGCAGGGGACTACCTTTTCTTTGGCCCGACGTACTCAGTGCTGGTTCACCGGCTCGTCACATGAAGCAAAAGCAGCTCTGATGGGCGTGGAGGGGCGCGTGGGGCTTGTGACGGTAGATAGGTCAACAGGGTCTTGGGTACTGGGGTTTAGGGTTTGTGCATGTATGGTTTGGGGTTTGGGGGTTTAGGGCCGAGGGATGTTCGTTGGTTGTTGGTTTCGGGCTCAAGGCTGGCATCATGTCGTTTCCAACTGCTTAATTGGAGCTGCACCTCCGTCAGTAGACCTGCAGCAGAATCCTCACATGGACATTTCCAAACATGGGTTCGTTTACTTGGAGGATCATGGGACTTAGTAAGTAAGGTTATAAGTAAGTCAATTGGGGTTATAAGCAGTTATAAGTATAGATACCCTCATTATAACCCTAGCTACTAAGTCCCATGATCCTTTAAGTACCCCCCAAACCCAGATAGAACCCTTAATAGTAACCCTTATAGATCCCTTAAAGGAGCCCTTTTACTAGGTTTTACACGTTTCCCTCCTTCGGAGCCCGTCTGTCTAGCTAGTCTCAGCAGTGCAAGAGACTCAGGGTAGCACCCCTACCTGGGTTGTGATTCGGGCCCTACCTGGGGTTAGGGTTTAGGGTTTAGGGTTTAGGGGTTGGGGTTTAGGGATCATTTTTAATTTCCCTTATTTCCTTATAAAGGGAACCTATTGATAAATAATTGTCACAAGCACGGGCTTAAAGCACAACCCAGCTACACCCGCAAGGCCCAAAGTCCTGAACCCCAAAATCCCAAATTCCTGAGCCCAAAGGCTGTAAAGCCCTATCTTCAAACCCTGAGCCCCTAAACCCTCAACCCGAAACCGAAACGGCCCTTCGTCACTATCCGGAGCCTGAGTTCACGTAGAAGCATGAAGATTTAACAACATGATGCGTCAGGGTTCCTCAGCAGAACTAACTTTTATTAAAGGGTACCACAAAACCACCATACTCAGCATGAAGGTGCCTGTAACAGCACTTTTTGCAATCACCGATCTTGGTCTTCAGCTCTCTAGTGGCCCAACAGCCAAGGACTTACCTTTTGGGGAGGGGATGGGGGGTGCGTTATCCTAAGGCCCCATAGTAGGTTCTTTTTGTGGCTCATATTTAGAATCCTATGGGGTAATACAAAAAGGAACGACTATGGGGCCTTAGGGTAACCATAAGGATGCCTCTGTCCCCGAATCCGAGACTCTCATTTAAGGCACAACCGTCTTGACCTTGTGGTCAGTCGTGTTTTCCGTTTCAGCGTTCTTTGGGGATATGGGTTCCTTATCATATTATGATTATAGTATAGTATGCCCCAAAAATCCTATTCTAATTTTTAAGGCCCAATGCTATGTAGGGTAATTGGGGTTGGTTGGTTGATCGGAAATGAGTCCTGGCGAGCCTAAGCAACATTCAAGATGCGCCGCGGCATCTTGACATCGAGCCGGTCCAGGGACAGTGACAGTTAATAGGGTTTTGAGGCATATTATCCGGGCCCAAAGTCGAGCAGCACTTCTTGGAGGATCATGGGACTTAGTAAGTAAGGTTTAGGGCTCCTTTTAAATCTGGTACTATAGGGTTCTATAATAGGGTTCCTTAAAGGGATCTATAATCGGGTTTTATAATGGGGATCATGGGACTTAGTAAGTAAGAATATAAGTACCGTAATTGGGGCTATAAGTAGTTATAAGTATATTTACCTCAGTTATAACCCTAGTTACTAAGTCGCATGATCCTTTAAGTTGTCTAGATGTGAAGAGTGTCATCGTGCTTTGTTCATCCACTGCTCGCTGCGCTTTTTCCGCGATGTACACCTGTATCTCCTGTGGCGCACCGGGCCATCCCCACTGCGAGAATCTCTTCCAAATGGTGTATAGCATTGGTGCTCATAGGATTATTGGTTTAGAGGGTATGCGCGTTAAAACTTTTAAAACTTTTAATCTAGGTTTGTATATATGAGTGAATCTTCTGAGGAAATCAAAAGTCCGATCAAGAAGTTGAAAGAAGAAGTTAAACAGTTAAAAGATCTAGTTAGTAGTCTTGTTGAAAGAGTTGTGAAGTTAGAAGACAATAAGGAGAATATTAAACCTAGTGATAATAAACCTAATATTATGGATGCTAATTATAATAATCGCAGGAGTGCCTATATAAGTAAACTTAATAATAAGGATACTAAACAACCCAAGGCAGAAACAATGAAGTATTATAATGTTGTGTATGATGCTGATAAGAATGTTTATTTTTGAACCATTTAAGGAAGAAAGTACTTAAAGAAATAACGACTTTATATAGTAGAGTATGGACAGGAAAGAGTGTAAATTATGTAATGCCACCAAAGAGTTATCAGAATTTAGTGGATTTTAAACTTGTAACAGATGCCGTGAGGCAAAGAGGAAAGGTAGGGGATAATATAACCTAGTTAGAAGACAAGAAAGAGAGAAATGGTGTAGGTTCTGTGAAGAGTGTGGGCGAAGAGTCAAGCATGAAAACTGGGATGTTCATTTTTACTTCGGGACGCATCCAAATTCTGAACTATACAACTAGCGAGAAGAACTACTTTCAAAACTGAGAGAGTTGAGAGAGCAGCAAACTTACAGATGAGATACAAGAAGAAATGTATACGGGATACAGGCAACAACAGCACGAACTCTACAAAAAACTACATAAGATGTTCGCAGGCAAAATCACATTAATAGAGCCAAAAACAACATCATCACGAACGTTTCAACACATAGAATATTTTGAATCATTACAGCCCATTGATGAAACTCAGTAGCTGATACAACATAAATCTATGTTGTATGACCTACTGCCCCCAAGCCCCGAAACACCAAACAAAAACCACAAAATCCTATCAACCTAGGCACGCCTGTTGGGAAGATGGTCTTTGGAAATAGGGTATTTCCAAATATAGTCTTTGAAAACCCCCTATTTGATTAGGCATATTTAATACAGGCGTAAAAGTGTAGGGGGGGGGTGGTACAGGTTTTGGGACCATCTAGCCAACGGACGTGCCCTCCGCTAACTCCTAAACCCCCGAACTTGCAAACCCTAAAATGTTTCAACCCCACCAGTTTCCCGAAAACCCTAACTTTCTGGACTAAACCCTACATAGACCGTGGAACCCCTAAACCCATATCCCCAAAAGCCCCAAACCCTAACCCCCGTAACCCTAAACCCCTCCACAACTCCAACGCCAGAATCCTCCAAGGTCCTGTGGGCAAAGATCGACTGCACTGTCCCCGCCGGCACCAGTTTCATTTCCACAGCTTCTTTCAGCCGCCCCTAACAAGAGTCAGGGCTTTACTTGAGCATTCTTTGCGAGTTTGGAGGGTCTAAGGTATATATACCTTACCTGTGGCCCAAAAGACCTGCCTGTTTAAGGAGCTATGACAGAAACCGTAAGAAGGAACCCTGAAAAGGTAGGTCTTTTCGGCTACAGGTAGGGTTAAGCCTTATGATTTCGGGTTTATAGGAGTTCAAGATGTAGGCTGGGCCCTATCACCTGCAAGACTGCTCGCCCAACCTAGAATTTCTGCCTACAGCGCTCGTTGTTTCAATCCTTCCGTCTTAAATTTCTAGCCAAAATTGTCCAGCGTTCGATTTCTGAAAAAGCTCCAATCGCTGCGGGCGGTGCCAGAACATCGGGAAGCACGGTGGTACATAGTCAAAAACCAGCCCACAGACCACCCCTCACAAAATAACACACAAAATTTAAACCATGTCCCCAAATCCATCCTTTAACCCCAAACCATTCCCCTAAACCACCGTAAACCCTGAACCTTCAACAATGTCCTCCGAACCCTAAACCCTGAATCATGTGCCCTGAACAGTTTGGTCATGGCCGGGTAACATTTTACAACTTTATGGGTACTTAAACCCAATAAGGAACAACAGTTGACTTTGCTAGCACTATCCCAACCAGGAACTAGCGACCACTATGCAGCATCCTATTCCCCAAGGATCCCATCAGTCGAAGCAAAGAAGGAGCTGGATCCCAAGGACGGCAGTGGATTGCTTTAGGGTCATGTAGGGGCCTTAATGATTAGGGGATATACCATGGTATAAATATCTCCAGGAACCCGAAGGGACACTTCGAATAGTTATTCAGGCGCTAATATTGTAGCATTGTGGTAGCTCAGGTTTCCCATAATGTTGTTGCCCTTGTTATTGGGGAACTGCTCTCGAGACCTCCTCCAAACTCACCCACGATTTTGCCGTCACCGTCACCTGGATCTTGAGCCCTATTAGGACATATCAACCCTACTAACCCTAAACCCTACAATCCTGCACCCTCGCCCCAAACCAACTAATTTTTTCCAGCCCGAAGGATCTACAAGAGATCGGGGATGTGGTCTTCCAAGACCACAAATGGGAGGAGGCACTTCAACTGTTAAAGGCACGAGAAGGCTGGGGGAGGTCAGCCGCGAAGGAGGTTCTCCTGCAAGGAGCCACTTGGTCAGGTTGGGGGTTGAGAGCCTTGGGTTAACATAAGATACCATTTTAAGGGTCTTGGAGAGCTTTACAAGGGTATATATATATATATATATGGAACTGGTTCTAGTTGCTTTGGTGCAAGGGGCAAGGTCACTGAAATCAACCCCGAAACCTTCTCATGCTCGGCCACGAAGGCTCATACACCCCTCCTACAATCCTCGCACACTGAAGGTTATTTTATGTAATTCTCCGGAGCCCTAAACCCTAAATCGTCTGGGAGCATCTTTATCAAGGATCCGAGATACAAGATCCCGAACTCGAGCCAGCCAGACCTATCCCCAAACACTACACCGGCTGAGCTCTAGACCCTAACTCAAAACACTATAGCAGCTAAACTCTCTAACTACAGCTCAACTTTGAACCCTACCTACAGTCTCCATGGTAGTTTCGTTGTTTGGTTAAGGCCAAGAGCCTGGGATTCTGGCACCTCCCAGATGAGAGCTTGCGAAGTCTTGTGGATCAATTGCTGGGAGATAAACCTGGACCAAGCTGCTGGGTGTTAACATGGGGGCCTTAAGAATTAGAATAGGGTTCCTTCAAAGGGATCTTTAAGGGCTCTATAAGGGATCTATAGTAGGGTTCCATGATATAGGGGCCTTGATAAACACAATAGGGTTTCAGGACCCATTATACTATAATTATACTAAGGAGCCCTCAAAAAGTATAGGTAATTATTAAGGCCCCTATAATAACAAGGATTTTTCGTAGGGGGTTTAGTTTTGTATCAGGCTTTGTAAGGTGTTTTGGGGGCTTAGGGTTTAGGAATATTTTCATTCGACTTATCATAGTAGGCGCGGACCCTATATGATAGGTATTCTGTTGTGTCTAAACTTAGACTTAGACGAACATGCTTGGCAAGAATGCAGGTTACGCCTTGCAGCAGTGGGCTGCGGAGTGGACGGAGACTTGGATACAGCCAAGGCGAGTAAGTACCTTTGAAGGGGTTACGTAAATTAAATGCAACTCTAGATGATGTAGGTACTTAGGTTCAGATGGACTGCCCGGCAGATGTCGCCGTTTGCTTCAGTGGCCCACGTCATGTGACGAACATGAGAGACTTGTGCCAAAGGAATGTAGCGGATGTAGCAACCGCAACGACGGCAAAGCAGTCGCCGACTTAGGACACGACAATGGCCAGAGATGGAAAGTCTGACAATTCCCTCGCAGCCAGGCTAAACAGCAAAGATATCGCTGGGTCCGTAGAAACCCATCGTTTCGCCCCTGACATTGACATGGACGTTGACATGTCAAGCTCGCCACGAAATTTTCAGAAGCCTCACTCTATCGTCCCGGATTGGCGTGGCCATTTTGTCAGCCCCAACTATTTCCGATGCTGGAACATTGGTATCCACTTTGTCGTTTTCGGTCTTTCTGCGGCCTATGCGTCGGACCTGGTCATCGACAAGTACCCGGATGCCGTAACTTAGCTCGACTTATGCCATCCTTATTGAAGCATCGTTTAGATTTAGGCTTCAGGATTGGAGGGTCAGGCTCGTCTCACATACCTTTGACACAGCAACTGACATACTCCTACACGAACAGGGTGCCGCTTACGGTATATAGGATGCCGCCCATTTACGGATATGGGGTGTTCGATTGACGTAGACTCTGCGTTGTATCTCTGTGCACGCAGCTGCTGAGTCTGTACGGGGACGCTGATCCCCTTTACTTTGGGTCTGCTTAAGGCGGGATTCCTTGTCGAACAAACTCCTGCTACTTGTACAACAAGTTCCTGTGCTACATGTTTTGCGTTTAATTACAGCTACAGATTCGTAGGCCAGGCCCAGGAACAGCTGAAATGGCTGTCCCTAAACCCTGTAAACCTTAAACCCTATAAGCCTTCTCAGCCTAAACCCTAAACTCTAAACTTTAAATCCTAAATTCCAAACCCTTAACCCCAAATGCCTTGCAAGCCCTCCTTCGAAGCCTTGAGCCTTGAGACCTGACACCTCCTACCCCCCCGCCTGAAATCCAAACATACCGAAACCTAATGGTTTAGGGTTTAGGGCTCTGATGGTTTAGGGCTTAGGGCTCTATTGGTTCGAGCGCCTAGTTTAAGGGTTCTCATGACTCTAATGCTTTACGGCATGGGGCCCTGATGGTTCAGGGTTTAGGGTTCTGATGATTCTAATGGTTTAGGGTGTTTAACCCCAAACAAAATGCATCCTTGGACGCGTTACCTGAGACAAAAGAATACGTCCTGAATTCTGATTAACCTTAATCAATCACGACACATCCCATAGCAGAGCCTTCAAGCCAAACCCTAAACCCTAACCCCTACATCACAAACCTTAAACCCCAACCCGTGAACCCTGAACCCTAAGCCCTGAACCCTCCCTAAACAAAAGCATCCCGCAACCCCCAGCCGTAGGAGATCACGCCCAGGTCAAGCTTTTCAGTTGGCCCATCTGGTTCGCGCGCCTAGGTGGTATGGCCACTTCCATTTGGTCAGCCACTTGGTCTATGGATTGGGATGTAAGAGCATAAACTACCCTAATCTCTAAACCAATGAGGGTTAAAGTGAGGTTTGGGAGTAGGTTGATGGGTTCGAGGCTTGCGTGTTTCGTCTCTCAGATCTCATGGTAGGCCCGCCATTCGCCGTGTTTCGTTGCTTATAAAAGGCTCGGAGACACCCTACCCAAAAAAAACTAAACCCTAAATCCAAAAGCCCTAAACTCTAAACCCCAAAACCCTAAGCCCTAAAGTCCAAATCCAAAGCAAGCCTTCGGATCTTTGATTCCGGGGCAGGACCACGGTGCCTAATGCAGGTTTAGGGTTTAGGGAATACAGGCGGTTTAAGACCGACGCATAGCTGAGACTCTAAACCTGCAGAGGCAAGATCTACCGTAGCGGTTCTGGGGCTCTCTTCTTCAGTGCTAGTCAGACTTTGAGCCTAAACATGGGGCATAAATCGCTGCGCCTCAACGTAATTCATAATTTCTTACAAAGCCCCAAGGTTTAGGGCTCAGGGTTTAGAACTCACAGTGTCTGTGGATGTGCTTAGAGCCCTCCTAACCCTAAACTCTCAACCCACAAACCCTAAGATCCCAACTCAAGACACGCTGCCCCAGTTGTTATTAGTCCTAAGGGCTCCAAAATACCGATATAGGAGAATGTAGGGTTTCCATGGTAGGAATCATTATTATGGTTTGGGAGAGTATACCCCATAAGGCTACATGGGAGCCTTCGGGACTGCCAAAAGACTACTAAAACCCGGCCCCTCCCGGACTACACCCATCCAAGCGATAGAACTCTTCTCTGACCAGGACCTGCCATGAGCCCTCAACCCCAAGCTGGGTTTAGGATTTAGGCTTCAGGGTTCCGGGTTGTAGGATGTTTTCGGGCTTAGGTCGTTGAGGTTGCGGAACCTACTTGGAGGTTCATGGGTAATTATAAGTGGGGTTATAAATCGGGTAGCTATAAGTATTACTCATATTAAGGGACTACCCATGAACCTCCAAGTAGCACTAGCAATCCGGATCTTAGACCCTGAAATCGGGCAGCGCAAACTGCTGCAGAGGCTTTGCTCTTTTTGACGATGTCCCGGGCTATGCTCAGCAGCACCTCCCGATGCTTGCCGAAGTGGGCCAGTCTCCCGACCAATAGTATGTGTGTGTATATATATATACATACATACATGTGTAGATGTAGATGAAGATGTACATTCATACATATAGATACGTAGATATAACATGCATATATGTACCCGTACAAGCATATGAAACTGTGTATGTGGTTATGATTATGTGTTTATGCAGATGCATATGTATGCGCATCCGCACACGTCTGTATGTCTCTGTGTGTGTGTGTGTGTGTCGATCATGCGTGCTGTGAGAATCTGTGAGATGTACATTATGAGGGCTCCTGGAATCCTCTGCCCCGGGACTTAATCTCCAGCAAGATGCAAGCTCGAAAGCCTTTCGCAAGCGAAGCGTCCGGCGATTTGAGTTTCATGCCTCTGGTGCCCCTCCGTGCGAAGGAGGCTGGGCCCTAAGCTTTGGGTATCGCATAGTCCCTGGTTTAGTATAGCATATTATTAATTATCCGACATGATAGTATATTGTGTGTAAACCCTAGACCCTATAAGGCTTTGTGGAGCTAAGGCTTTCTCATCACCTTCCTGGACTCGCACAAAGACTTCCACATTGAGGCGGGCAAAGCATTGTGCCTGTATTCTTCGATCCACGTGACTGGCCACACCATCGGCACAGTCCCGGGCGTGATGCAGAGACTTGCCTTACTTGCTTTAGAGGAGGAGTAAGGGACTGGCGAGGCGAGGAGAGAGAGAGAGAGAGAGAGAGAGAGAGAGCTTACCCTAATCATCGTCTCAAGTTGCGACGCTGACGAATATGGTGGTGGTGCTGCTGCTCTGGTTGCTGCTGATGAAGACGAACGAGAAGACCAAGCTGAAGATGAAGTTGATGACGGATGGCCTTTGCTGCTAGTATGACGGTGATTCCTCCCAATTTAGACCGTTATTCGGTTACTCCTTCATGGATGGTTCCCGGAAGTCTAGTCCTTCGCATTCGATCGAGGGCCAGCTGGCTAGTACTAGTCACTCCTCCCGCAGGGGAAGAGCTAACCCTATACCCCAAATCGAACGCGTCAAGATGTCCCAGCCCTAGGTATCGAAATCCTGACACAGTACAGCCATCAATCACAAAGCTCGAAATCCCAAGCTTCACATTCCTATCAACCCCATGTTTTTTTTCCAACCGAGCCACCTGACATCATAGGGAATGTCAAGGGGGGTAGGGGGGGGGGGGGGGTAGGGGGCCTTAGTGCCCATAACAAGAACCCCCCTTACCCCCTAAGGGTCCCTATGATGAATCCTGAACTAGAAGCCGGCTTAAGGGTCCCATTATCCCAAAGGGTCCTAAGTACTGCTATGGGGGGGGGGGGGGATACTTTCCCAAACAATAGCCGTAATTCCTAACATAGAAACCCTACGTTACATTCTACTATATCTTACAGGTACTTACCTGTTGATGGACAAAATCCAGCATTACCCATTATAAGGAACATACCATAGTTTCCATAGTTTAGAGTCCTTAGGGTCATGCTGTCCATCAACAGTAGGACCCTTTGGGTACAAACCCTGAACCTTTTAGCGGCCGGCGGCTTCGAAGAGCATACCAAGGAAGAGTGTGGCTGAGTTGAACCGACTGTTGGGATGTGCGCAGGACAGGGATCTCCAGCGTGTGTCGTCGCCGTAACGGCGTCGGTGTAGTATAGGCATCTAGGGTTTAGGGTTTAGGGTGTATATAAGGGCTTAGGGTTTAGGGTTTAGTATAGGGGTGAATTTTCCAGCAATGCAGTGCTGTAGCTCTGCTGGTGTCGGGACTGGTACAGTGGTGGTAGTGGCAGGAGTGCGATAGGAGTGGAAGCAGATCCCGTAATCCCTTTAGACCACAATACACCTCCGGGCCCGAACCCTTCAACTCATTTCCTTACACGATTTGGCGCCACATCAGCGCCATTACTATCGTTGTTGCTACATGGCCCCAGTATGAAGCCCAAATCCCTCAGCCCTGCCGACACCCTGAGCCCGAAGTAAAGCCAAATTCCGAAGCCTGACAAAAGCTCCGAGTATATCCTTGCTGGGAAACTCGACATGAGCCCCCAAACAAAATGACACTTTCACAAACCCTAAGTCCTAAGTAGACCAAGACGGCGTAACAAGGCTGAACCCCCAAACCCTATACCCTACCTGCGTCCCTACCTTTGTAGGGCGCTAGATATAAAAACAACGGCAAGGGACCCCAAAAAGGTTGTTTTTTTCGGCTACAGGTATTCCCTGTGCCCCAAGGCCCTTGAAGTAATCCCAGGGCTATGTAGTCATGCATGTTTCAACTTTCTTGGGGTTTTCGTGAGGGATCTTGATTCATGTTTGTTCAATTCTAAACCCGAGGGTTGGCAAATTATCGCTTCTTGTTGTGGGTCTACGGGGCGTCGAGTTTTCTGGAGTTCACTCCCCAAACCCTAAACCTTCCACCATGAACCCTATAAGCCCTATACCCCCTATACCCTGAACCTTCCACCCCAAACCCTATACGCCCTAAACCCTATAATACCCTGAACATTCTACCCCAAACCCTATAAGCCCTAAACCCTATAATACCCTGAACCTTCTACCCTAAACCCTAAGCCCCCGAAGCGCGAAGCCCTCCGCCCCGAAGCGTTAAACCTAAACCCGGACGAGGATGATCCTCCCTGGCTGGTGGACCTCGACTTGAGTCACTTTGTCTTAGTTCTCCAATAGCTAACCTTTAAACTTTTTGGGGCTTATATGTTTTGGTAGTAATCTGAAAGTTTAACCTTTTATTTCCCTGGCTTATTGGGGAGGTAAGTTGTAGCTGAGTAGGTAGCCTTTAACCTTTTGGTGTCTATAGAATCCTACCATAACGGGGGTTTGTAGAATCTAACCATAATTGGGGTTCATAGAACCCCACCATACTTGAAAAGGTTAGCTAACCTATCGTGGTCTATAGAATCCTACTATACTTGAAAAGGTCAACCTCTACCTAGACCCACAAAAGTAAGTAACATAATGGCCCGAAACCTCTAAACGACCATTATCCTACATACTTTTAGGAACCCTAAACCCCTAAATCCCAAACCCTAAACCTAAACTCTATAAACCCTAAACCCTAAACTCAGCCCTTAAGGTCAGCTCTATTGGCCAATGTGCCCGCTGACCGAGGAGTGAGGGGTTGAGGGCTCTAGGGCTCCGGGGCTCTAGCCCCAAGGCTCCACAGTAGTTCCTTTTAATGTTTAGGGTTTAAGGGTTCATATGGGTGGTTGTCAAAATTATGGTCCGTTCTTTGGGTCCCTAATATAGTACGGCACCTAATAGGGTACCCAACAAGGGACCATACTTCAGACAACCACCCATATGTCATATGAAGTAGAATCCTATAAGGTATTCCCAAAAAGGAACTGCTATGGGGCCTATGGGTAGCCCAAAGGCTCCATGTACCCTCCAGAAGGATCCTTCACAGGGGCTCCTTTACGGGTTCCTGTAAAGGGCACTATAGGGCTTTGTACGTAGGACCTGTATGTACTATTTGACAGGTCTGTTTCCCTTCTAATATTTTATTACGGCATTGAAGGAAGTTGGAAGGCCTTTCAAACATTTGGAAGGCCTTTCAAATATTACTTGTAAAAGGCCTTTTGCTTTTAACAGGCCCGTTAAAACGATAACAGGCCTTTTGAATTTTTAAAAGGCCCTGAGATTCTTTTAAATTTTGAAAACCAGACACAGGCCTTTGAAAAAATCAAGAAGTTAAGGGCCCTTTTAATTGTTTAAAAGGCCTTTTAAAAGTTCAAGACTCTTTGAAATTTTGCATGGCTTTTTACGATTTTGACAGGCTCCGCGAATCCTTCCAAATCCTTAAAAATTTGACAAAATTACATTGGAGCCGGGTGCGGCCCATTCAAAATTTCAAACATCCTTAAAATGTTGCAAACCAGACACAGGCCTTTCAAATTGAAAGCCAGACACAGGCCTTTCAACATCTTAAAGAAGTTAAGGGCCCTTTTAAAGTTCAGCAGGCTTGTTGATTTTTTGAAAGGCCTTTTGAAACAATGAAGGCCGTTTAAATTCTTAAAAAGCAAGAAATTCATTAAAGTTTTGAAAGCCAGACACAGGCTTTTCAACATCTTAAGGATCTTCAGATTTTTAAATTGTTCAATGAACCGAAGGCTTATTGACGATAGCAATCGGATGATTAGTCACTTATAACGGACCTAGCTATGCATACCGAAAAAAGCCTTATCAGTCGGTCATGCCTGAGCTCGTGACACGTCCACCACACGGCAAGCACGACCTCTCGTCCTCAGGGTTGTAAGAAACCAACAGAAGGAGCACGGCATCCAAGCATCAGCGACATGCGGACAAGATTTCGTCCAGTCACGAGCCCAACATCAAGCCGCAGCTTCTGTGTGGTTGAAGTCTGCATTTATCAAACTGCACCTGTGCTCACCAGCTGCTCGGTGTTCGCGGTTTCATCACAGCTTACGCTTGACCGCCCTTGAAACGGGCCAATGAGTTTGCTAAACGTTGCGAAGGCAGATGTACAGGAGTCGGCAATGGAGCAGACAGCCGGAAAATCGAGAGTAACCCATGGGGACTGCAAAGTGAAAGCTGAACTCAGACCCCGACTTGTTTTAAGTTTCAAGTGCATTCAGTCTTCAGGAGTTAGGGTTGATGCAGGGTTTAGGGTTGGAGGCTGTGGAACGGCAGGGTAAGATGCCAAGTTTCACTTTCCACGTGGAGTCGAGGTGCCTTTACGCCGAAACGAAGCTGCAAGGTCTTTGTACGGCCAAGGGTAGGAGGATGGGTCTAGACTTCATACCGGTGAAGCACTGGAGATGGTTGACCAGCTGTGAATATGGCAAGGGACAGCACGCATGCAGATGCAACACCCGCCAAATGAGTCATCACGGATGCCCACTTATAAGCGCAGATTACCTAGCTTTTGAAGCAGTGCCGTGAAAAAGTCAGTTTGTTTTATTGGTGTGTTAGTTGTTTGCTCGTTGTGCACGGGCCAGGATCAGCCGCAAACTTCATTGCTCCAGATCTCGGAAGATGTTTAGAGTTTAGGGTGTAGAGCCGAATACATCACCTTGGCATGCTCAGCACTGACCTAGCGCTGAAGTCTGTCCAAGCCCATGGCAAGATTACCTGTACATTCACTGCCGGGGGGGGCGGGTAGCAGTCCATCATCAAGATCTAGAGCATCACTGAATCACAAACGGCCAGCGGCCGAACACTTGGGTCTTACGTGTTTGGTCCGGTCCCGTACGCACAGCATCCTTGCTTCAGGCTCGGGCATGGCAGAACTAGCATGAATGCTTCTTCGGAAAGCCCAGCTGCGCAAGGCCAAAACAGGGGTGGATTGACCAAGAAGCACTTCTGCATTTGTGGCTCTCAGCGTGTGTTAACTGCCCGCATCGACCTTCGCCTGCCCAATGTCAGGCACGAGCGGCACCCGTGAGAAAGTCGGCCGAGCCTTGCGAGCCCAAACCCTAAAGCTGGTTTGGATTCAATTCAGCAAAAGTTTCACTCTTGATCCAGACATGTGGATGCCCTTGAGCTTGAGTTGAAGGGTCTCACACCCCGAAAGCAGCTTAAATCCCCCTCCACTTTAGAAATTGAAACTCTCCGTGTGTTGCTCCTGTTGACTCCGGCATCCCCTCAAGCATGGCAGGCTATGGCGACGAGTGCCCGGTCCTCGCAAGTGGCCCCTCTCCCAGAGTCCTCGGCAGAAACTGAGTCGCACTCGAAGTGGCCATCATCACCATCGCCACCAGCGGCACCAACCAGTTGGAATTCAGGGGTAAAGGCTACCTTTTGTGGAGCCGAGGCAAAAGTCCGGCAGAGCAGACGCACGCAGCAGTAGCAACGACGTTCACACGGCCTTGCCGCTGAGCGCTTTAGGGTGAAGGGTGTCGGCCGATTGGGTTGCTAGCAATCATGTACACTTTGGGCGCGGAGGTGCTGTTTCTTTGGTGGCGGGGGGGGGCGGGGGCAATCAGCTTAACAATCAATGTTGTTGTTTCTCTTGTCCATGTGGTGTGTTTAGCAACAGGTGGTAAGCTTCAGTTGGTTCTTCCAGTGGGTATTGTTGAAAGGTGGACTTTCTGCCTGCAAATGTCAGTCTTAAGATAGCGATCTGGAGCCTCCCGATAGCTCCGACCAGATCTGCCTCTTGCTCGTGCTACCTTTGTTGATGCAATTCACCGGTCACCGTGATCTCAATCCGGATCCAACATAGAGGCTTCCGCTGGAATGATGTCATTGCTTTGGGGTCTGATTCATCGGTCGTGGAAGCTGCGACTCTGAATTAATTCATCAGGATCAATGTTAATTTTTGTGTGGCTGGTGCTGCAGAAAGCCTTGGTGCCACTGCCTGAAGATGTTTGGTGCCACAGCAGTGGTGCTTGAGGCCTCCATAGCAGCAGCAACAGCATTCCTGCTTCATGTAGGGCGAAAGAAATTCTACATTTCCGTTCGCGTCCGTTACATTCGGCTTCCGTTCCGGCTGTGTTGATTTGTGCGTTTCCGTTTTTCCGGCCTCGCATCTTCGGTTTCTGGTGTCATTTCCGGCTGCATAGTTTTGCATTTCCATGACATCTCTTTGCTCGAATTTTTATGCAAGGTTTCAGATCCATGTTCGAATCGGATGTTTCAGGCTGCGTAGACGGCTGCATAAACACGCCTCTCCGTCACTTCCGGGTGCATTTCCGTGTCTGCGCCGCCTATTTCAGGCTTCATTTCCGGTTTCACAAGTTGTGCATTTCTGGTCACTTTGGTTGAATTCTGATTCCACTTTCTTCTCCATCATTTGAGATTCTAGTTTGCGCGCATGCCCCAAACTAGACTCAGTTAAAATAACATTAACAAAGGATCAATGCCTACCCCAGGGCTACTTCTTCGACTACGAACGGCTCGGAGTTGACATCGCCAGGCCTTTCAAACTTTCAAGGGTTTTAAGGATTTTTGAAAATTTACATGGGCCGTGCTTAGCCCTAACACATTTAATTTTTGAGGATCTTTCAAAATTTTACAGAGTTTCAGGGCCTTTTCAGATTTTCGAAAGACCTTTTAAAAATTCATTCAACCCTGTAAACTTTCATTTGGCGCTTTCTAATTTAAAAAGGCTCCCCAAGCTCTTGAAAATTTTGAAGGCCCGACATAGGCCTTTCAAAATACTAAGGATGCTAAGGGTTGTTAAAGATTTAAATGGGGCGCGCCTGGCCACAAAACATTTAATTTGAAGGAATTTAAGGGGGCCTTAGAACATTTACAAGGTTTTTAGGGCCTTTCAAAGATTTAAAGGGATTTTCAAAACATAAAAAGCCCCTTACACTTTTAAAAGCCCCTTAACTTCCACTAAATTTTGGGAACCAGACACAGGCCTTTCAACATTTCAAGGGTTTCAATCATCTTTAAAATGTTAAATGGCCAGTGCTTGGCCCCAAAACAGATAATTTTAAGAAATTCAAGGATTTGAAGCAACTTAAGGGTCATTTAAAGATTGACACGCATTTTAAAGAATTAGAAGGCCCTTGAAACTTTTATACGACCCCCCTTCCTTTCCCCCTTCCGCCTCTCCCTCCTGGATCTCCCCAGACCCACCCCGGATTCTTTCGAATCGGGTCAAGGCTGCCATCCCGCGCATGACATTCCGGCCAACCCCCCCCCCCCCTCCCTCCCCGCTTCTCCCTCCTTCCCCCTTCTTCTACATATCCCTCAGCTCGCTTTAGCTCCCCCGTCTCCTGCCGCCCGCTCCCTTCCACACTCACTTTCCCCACTAGTTAACGGTACTGAGCCTAAGCCGGAACAACACAAAGGACAGGTCCTTGTTTTTGCGGGTTGCGCCGTCCAAAGACGCGCCGAAACTCGCTGGCCCTGCACTGACAAATATTTTTGATGTCTTAAACCCCGACAAAACAACCCTAAACCATGAACCCTAAAGCCTGAAACTGCGTCAGACCTCGAGAGGCACTTTGGCACTAGGCTTCGTGATTTACTCCACGCACGGCTCGGTTGGAAGTACGTAGTTCTTCTCATTAAGGGAGTTTCCGAAATTAGGGGTACCGTATTTCGGTGTCCTTATAATAAGGATCCTACTATTTAGTATACTGCAATAGGGTCCCTTATTGTCGGAGACTCCCATAAGACTTCAGTATGAACCTCCAAGGACGTTTTCAGGGGCGCTCGCAAAAAGGGAGTCCCCGCGAGCCCCCTAAATCCTATCCCTAATTAGACCGTAGCCAGCCAGTTCCCAAAGCCCCCATTGTGATCAGCAGTCATCAAACGACTGTTAGTCCGGTTTTTCTGTCGTTGAGTAGATAAACTACAACTTTTTGGGGGGTTAATGAGCCCTACCAGTATAATTGAAAAAGTTATATAATTAACCTTTTCTGGGCAAGGGTACTCAGCCCCCTAAGTACGAGTAGATCCCCTGAGGCGCGAAACCTCGACGCACCCGCCGAACCCTATGCATTATCCCTTCACCGCATACCCGAATCTGCAGCCTTAAGCCCTAGGCTCTTCCCCCAAAGCATACTCTTAGAGATGACTTATGGGAGTTTCCGAAAATAGGGGACCCTAAAAGTGGTAGGAGCTTCATTATAAGGACCCCAAAATCAAGTACCCCTAATTTTCGGAAACTCCCTTATAGATCTCTTGGAGAATCCTTATACCAACCTTCATTACCAGACCCCATATTGCATCCAAGACTCTGAACCGCAGGAGAACAAGCCGAAGACGTTCACTGAAGCCCTGTTCCTCACCGTTCCTGGCGTCACGGGAGCCATGCTTACAGGTATGTTGGCCCTGATTGCTTCTGGGCTTCTCTTGAGTTTATAGAGTGCTACAGGGTTTTGGGGCTTTGCAGGTTGATATAATACGTGTTTATATGCCGACTCTACTGTAGTCAGAACCCGAAGAAGACCCGGCGTAGCTGTTTGAGCCCGGCCGTAGATCCGCATCAGCGGACCGCCGAAAGCAAGCCCTCAGCACCCTGAGGGATTGAAGCTTCGCGGCTTGGGCGGACATACCCAAGCCCGCAAACCCCAAACTCTGAAGCCCAAACCCCTAAACCATGAAGCCCGAAAAACCTCAAACTATAAAGCCGCCCCAATATGGGAGTTTCCGAAAATAGGGGACCCTGATATCGCACCCTACACAGTAGGATCCTTAATAAAAGGGCCCCAGAATAAGGTACCCCTAACTTTCGGAAACTCTCATTGAACCTACTGTACAGAGTACTTGGGAAGTCGTTCACTGATCACCTGCAAAGGCTTTCACAAGCCGGCAGAGCTTTCGCAGCAAGCACTTTGAATGCTTCTGGAGCCTTGGTCGAAATGGTAAGTAGGGTTATAAGTCCCCTAATATGGGTAGGGTTATAAGGCCCCTAATATGAGCTATAAGTATAATAGTTACCCTGCTTACAACCCACTTATACAGTACCCCCCCTTGGTCGAAACCAGTTGCTAGAGCCTCCATTTTGTGCCCGTTTGACAACAGGCCGACGGGTAGGCTGTACACCCCTGGTGGAGGGCACAGAGAGGGTTTCAGCAGACAGTTTAATGTAGGAGCCTGATTAAGAAACCTTGGGTCTTTATTAGGGTTCGATAAGGGTTCCTTTTAAGGGTGCTACCTTTGGTTGTTTGATATAGTAACCTGATTAAGAAACCTTGGGCCTTTAATTAGGGTTCCTTATATGAATCCTACTATTTTGGCGTTATAGGCCCGGGGTTTCTTGATCAGGTTCCTACATTAGCATATACAGTGCAGGGTTGAGGGTTGCCCCTTCTCCTGCTTGCACACCTATCTTGACACTAAACCCCAAATCCACTCTAAAGTGGTTGAGACCGTACCTGGAGGTTCATGGGTAGTTATAAGTGGTGTTATACACAAAGTAACTGTACTTATAACTCAAATTAGGGGACTTATAACCCGCCTTACAACTACCCATGAATCTCCAAGTAGTTCCTGCGCTCATGAGCAGCATCCCAGTCTGACCTCAAGAGATTTAGCTCCTTTGGCTGTGCCCTGTTGTGTGGTCATTTTGTGTAGGGGGATGTTTCTTGGCAAAGAGCGTCATCGGAGACGTTTTGTAACTATGATCGCTGTCACCATTGTCTTCGAGATATCCCTTTTGGCGAGTGCGCACTAAAGCACCGACACGGGGATATAGACACAGGCATCGAGTGCAAGCCTGCAGACATAAGAAGGCTGCCTGTGAATGACTCTCAGGCCTAAGCCCTAAATGAGAATGGCCATGACATGCCAAGAGGATGGGCGACGCATGGAAGTAGGTCGGGTATCGGTGGAGATAAAAATATACCACGACCATGTTTCCCGCATTGCCATCCATGTCTCTTGGTGTTGAATTTGATGGAGGTGCTCCCGATGATGACGATGATGCTCATGGTAATAGTGAGGTTGGTGACGGAGAAGAAGAAGGCTGTCCGACAGTGCTGTAGCACGCACAACCCTTACGACAAGCCCCATATACGTACTAGTTGTGCTGTGAATACACACCGGAGGCCTGCACCCATGCTCACCCTGGAATCAGAAGCTGTAAAAATGTATGGTGCAAGGTTAGACCAAGAGCCCCTAGCCACACTAAAGTTTGGACGCACAACAAATCTACACTCTAAACCCCAAAAACTAAGCCCAAAATCGTAGCACCTTTAAGGACAGCCCTAACGACCAAAGCCAACAGCGATTCTCACGGCGAGAAAGGAACCTGCACAACGTGGCGATCTTCACATGGCCGATACTTCTGTTCTTCCACGGCTCACAAGGCAACGCTGAGCCTTGTCGGTCTGGGGATGGCTGGTGTCTGGGGGCCCGGGTGTACAGCATGGTGAGGTATGGTGTGGTAAGGTACGGTACCGTATGGTATAGTATGATGCCCTATGGCACGGTGGGGTAGGATATTAGGTAAGTTGTTTGTATGGTGTAATATGGTATGGTGTGGTACGATATGGTACGGTACTGGTATGGTAGGGTAATGGTGTGGTATTGTATGGTATGGTCTGGACCTGGCATGGCATGGCATGGTGTAGTACGGTGTGGTATTGTACAGTACGGTGTGTCCGTGTGATTCAGTGTATGGTATACAGTATGGTTTACAGTACATATTGTATAGTATTGCATTGCATTGACATAGTGTAACATAGCTTGGCGTGGCATAGTATAAAATAGTACAGCAGCTCGCAGTATAGTTCAGTGCAGTAGAGTGAAATACAGTATGATATGGCTGTAGCCGAACCGAAGCGATAGTTATAGTCACAGCTGTTGTTGTGGTCTTTGTTGTAGCCATACTTCCAGTTGCCATGTAGCGCATGGTTTGGTGTGGTATAGTCTACGTAGTCCAATCTAATCTTGTCTTGTCTTGACTGATCTAGTCTAGTCGGGTCTAGTCTAGTCTAGTACAGCAAAGCAAGTTTCGTCGTTCCTGGAGCATCGCAGTTCCTCCGGTAGTCCTGCAGTGGCGCACGGCTCCTATCTAGCCCAGCTCTGCTGCTTGTGCCAAAAAAAGGAGAAAGAGCCCTAGCTTCAAGCCACCAAAGCGGCCCGACGCCCCGAAGCTCGAACGGCTTTCTGCGAGGTTGGGTTGGAGTCGGCATTCCGCTGGTCGTCATTGTCTCGGCCCTCCCCATCGCGACCTATGCCATTGGCCGCATCGCACGCCTCCTCCGCTACTACCTCTTCGTTGGGAAGGCACTGCAAAGAGCTTCCAAGGCTGTTGTTTATGGTTTGGGGTTTAGGGTTGTGCTTTTGGGTTTGGGGTTAGGTTTTAGGGTTATAGGGTTCCGCTGATTAGAATACGGTTCCTCTAGGGTTCTTGCCCGGTTCTACAAGGTTCTCACATAGGGTTCTTTTTGGTTTCAGGGTTTGTTTTTGGCCCAGGGGGTTTGAGGCTCACTTTAACCCCAAATAACCTTCCAGATAGGGCTTGGGGAGTTACCATTGCCATTCTCCCAAACCCCAACCGAGGAGCTGAAAATCTCCGGTGGAGTTCTTGGCTGGGCTCGGGGTATAGGGTTTAGGGTTTCTGGTTATAGGGAGCCTTTGAGACTCTTATAGGTATCAGCTAGTCTGAGCCCTTGGTTTTGGTATCCATAGAAGCCCGTGAATGCAGAGGCCGTACGGATCCTTCGCGCCACGGTGAGGTTGGGGAGGAAGGGCGATGTCAACGGCTCTTTGACGCAGCTGGAGGTGGGCGTGCAAAGATCATGTTAAGGCAGAGTTGGGTTAAATAAGCGAGGGTGTAGGACTTCGGGTTTAAAGCGGATTGCAGAATATTGGGCGACGTTCCCCCGGGGTGGAGCATATGACGGGCTGTATAGTATCGCTGTAGAAGGGGTCGTGGATGAGTCGGTTCTGAATCCCTGAACTCAAAAGGCCGAATTCGGTTCCCCTAGCCTGGGAGCGTAGCTTGTAGGAGGTTTCGGATGCAGCCACAGAAGGCCGGGTGGTGGGTTGGGGTTCTCGCAGGTGACACCCCCTCCATACTTGTGGAGTTTCCACGCTGGGATGTATGCGTTCATCTGCATGCCGGACTATGCGCCGCTACAGTGGCATCCCTTCACGATTACCTCGGGTAAGGATGATGCAACCGTGAACTTTCTGGTGGCAGGTGCGGTGCGGTCGTCATGATGCAAAGGGTTATTACTCCAAGGGGCATTCACTCTTATCCCTGTAACCCTAAGCCCCAAGCCTGTACTTTAGCTTAGCGCGGTTGACTCATGGAAGCTGGGGCCACGGCTGGGGTTAGGTTTTGGGGCATTTGCTGAGGCCATAAACTTCAGGGCATGCAGAGGAGCCTGTTGATAGGATTTAAGGAAAGGGAAGATTAGAAATGAAAGCAAAGGTGTGACTGAAGCAAAAACAAGGTAACATGACATTGAGACCACAGTACTTGGATGCCATATCGTGTTTGTATCTTGCCTAACATATCCTGATCCCTCTATCCCCCCTGCATGCTCGAGATGGACCAGGCGTGGGCGACTGGAGCAACGAAGTGGCACGGCGCTGTCTGAAGGGCTACTCGGTAAGTCAGCAAATCCTAGTCTAGGGCTTGATTTTTTCATCATCATCGGATTTAAGACGGTCCTTTTCCCCTGAAACCCTAAACTACACCCCAGGTGAGTTGCCTCGTTTGGCTTTGGATGGACCTTTCGTGTCCCCCACGCAGTCAGCCATGGACAAGGAGGTGCTTGTTGCTATCGGCGCCCTTGGGTTGCAGACCCCTTAAAGAGGTCTAGAGGTGGATTCTTAAACAGAGAGCTCTTGGAATCGGTCTTACCTCACATAAGGCTAGGATACCTCCTCAGGGATTGTATCATTGAGAGTCTTTATTAAGGGGTCTGAGTAGGAGGTCTCTTTTGCTTGTCAAGCGCCTCAAGCCCAAAATAAGAAGGAGTTTTGATAGTAGCCCCCTTTCTACCCTGAGCCCAAGCCTGAAAAATTAGGAAGAAAACAGAGAGCCGACACTAGCATAAAGCCTAAGGCATGAGCTCGAAAACCCTCGACTGCCCCCTAAACCCCCCAGATCCCCAATACCCCAACCTTTTAAACTTTTTTGGGTTCGTATAGTTTATAGAGGAATCGGAAAGTTTAACCTTTTATTTCTGTGGTCTATCGGGGGAGTAAGAGACCCCCCAAAACCCTGTAATCCCAGGCAGGAGTCGGGGTCACGCCCTTCCTGTCCTTGCTCTCCACCTTTCTGGTGCAGCTTTCAGGGACCGATGCGTCCTCGTTACTCGAGGTGCGACCGGAGAAACAAGTCCTACCGGGACGCTCTCTGTACCTTTGTTTACGCCTCTGATTGTAGAGAAACAGTAAGTGTTTAGGACCTCATAGGCGATGGAGGGTCTAGATATGAGGCTCGGGAGTTTAGGGTTAGGGGGTGAGGAATTTATGGTCTTGTTGTGCCTGCACTTCATCTGCTCTTCCAGATTTCCCACGCATCAGGCCCATTTCTACTGGGTTACGCGGGATCCGAGTGAGTTCATCTTCGGCGCGCCTTTGCTACGGAACTGGCTCTCCCACCGTCCCTTGCACGCCAAGATCGTGGTGCACCTTTACACCACGGCCAGATGCCCTGAGAAGGACCCTTAGTTCTCCAATAGCCAACCTTTAAACTTTTTCGGTTTATATATTTTGTAGTAATCTGAAAGTGTAACCTTTTACTTCCCCGGCTTCTTGGGGAAGTAAGGACCTGCCTAGCTTCCTTTTCAAGGAATGCCTCAAGCGACCCCCGGCTTTAGCGCTTCCATGCGCTTCAGAGTTTGAAGGTTAGGTTTCGGTGTTTCGGATCTACGGTCTAACAGGGCTGCAGATACATAGATAGGCGGATAGGTAGATAGGCATATCGGCAGACAAATTGATAGGCAGATGGCTAGATATGTAGGTAGATAGAAGGAAAAAATCGATGGATGCATCGGCTAGTCGGGTAGCTAGGTAGGTAGCTAGCTGCGCAGGTAGGTGGGTAGGTAGGCAGATCGGTAGAGAGATTCGAAAGAAGAAAGCCAAGGACAGGGTGCAGTCGATCGCCAATACTTCAAGGCAACGCCGCTTCTTCGAGGTTTAGAATAAATAAACAAGGCATACTGTCCCAGCTGGAATTGTAGTGCTGCCCCTTGCCAACGCAAGAAACTGCACGTAGGACTTGATAGTGAGCTGAAGCACATGGCAACACATCAAGCGTTCATGTACACGCTTGCATCTAGCAGCAGCCTTTTTCATGAACACTTTCGCCTGCATCTCGGCATGTTGAAGGTGGTGCGAGTATTTTTTAATTATATAAGTACAGAGACAGGTAGTCTGGCATCTACGTGTATGTATACACATGCAAACAGACATACGCATGCATGCATGCATACATACAACACACACACACACACGACATACAATACAACACACAGAATGTATACATACATAAACACATACAGGCAGATAGACCAGCAGACAGACATACTGTATAGGTGTATCCGTGGAACGAGAAAAAGGACGACAAGCAACAAGACAGCTGCCCATGACGTGCTCGCGACTTCTGTCTGAACAATCAGCGCCGAGCGACAGGCAATGCTTGTTGTAACACATAGCCAGACATCAGTACCGCACTCCAGGAGCCATAAGGGCCAGGTGGATGTCGAATTTGAGAGCTTAGGATTTGCAGTCTTACGCAAAGTTGTTGGGATTCCGTCCTGTAGGAAGCAGGATGTAGCAGGCCTCCAACCGAATCCTCGAAGCTGGGATCCCCAGTCTTAAGAATATCTTAGTAGCTGAGTGGATACACCTCACACTTTTGTGGAGAACATTAATTACCCACTATGAAGCTAAAAGTGTAAACTCTTGGGGGCTTATGAACTCAGCAACTAAGACTAAGATACAGGGGCCTTAGTGACTAGAATAGGGCTATGGGACCCATTATACTATATGTTTCTTTAAGGAACACCCAAAATAGTATAGGTAATTATTATAAGGCCCCTAGAATACCGACGGTGGTGCGCCTTTAACCCAGGCCGTCTTTCCTGAGTGGCAGCAACAGAATCTGCAGGCTCCAGGTCCGCAATTCCCCTGGCTCCTGGCCTTCGACAGTGTAACAGTAAAGGGTTACCAATACTATTTTTTTGGGGGTCCTTACTATAAATATAGTATAACGGGCCCCCAAAACCCTATTTTGATTATTAAGGCCAGTACATGGTGTACGTAGACAGCTGCCAGCCTAGGCCAGCCTAGGCAGGCTTTGCTGTTCGTGTTTGCTTATTTGATAGGCGTTTTGCCTGGTTGCTTGCGTGCTTGGATGTGAGTTAGACCTTCCAAGTTATGCATCTGCTGATTATAGATGGAGAGAAAATTTGAGTGATTGGCTGACTATTGAATGATTGATGGATTGGTTGACTGACTGACTGGCTGACTGACTGATTGACTGGTTGATTGATCGATCGATCGATTCATTGATTGGTTGATTGGCATTTGTTTGTGCATGGACTCACTTGTTTGATTTGTTAGCTCATACATTTACCTGCTACATGTTCGGACTTGATTATCCTTAAGTTGGTCGATCGTTTCTGTATGATGTATCCACAGTTCTTACATAAGCTATGCAAGGTAAGGTCGTCTTTTGCGTTCATGAAAGTTCCAATCTTTTCGGGATGAAGGAGAGCCTATCGTCCAGCTTTCTGCTTAGCTTTGGCTCAGCTCGTACACTGGATTCGGGAATGGTAGAAAGAATCAATTTTGGAGGTCTCAGGGTGGAAGATGTAGGGAAGAGTTTGAGGATCCTTGTTTCAATATTGGGGCTGAAGCTTCTGGGCCTGTAAACGGTCCTGGGTGTTTTTTGGGATCTCGTGTTAGTTTGGAGCGCGAGATATGTTTGTTGTTCGGGTGGCGTGAACAAGCTGCTGAATTACAGAACCTGTCCCCAGAAACCTGACAGAGGTCTCATAACCCTATAAGCCCTAAACCTAAGCCGTAAAACACTCCTACAAACCTTAAACCAAGTGCCTTGCCATGAACGGAAAATTGCTGTAGCCCCGAAGTCCAAGGTGCTGGGCAGAGGGTGGCCAGGAGGAGCTTTTGTGGGTGCCCTGCCCATCCCGAGATGATTTCACGGAGAAGTTCTGGCTTGTCAGCAGTTCGTCTCCAGGCACGTGGGCCCATACTCTGCCCATAAAGCAAACTTCATGCGTGCTGCTGGAGCCTTGCAAACACGTTGGAAACCATTTACAGTAAGTCATCTTCAGTCGAAGTCAGGTCTGTTGAAGCAGGAGTGCTCAAACTGCCTATCTGGACGTGGCTTTGTGTATTGCTATCAGTTGGTGCTTCTGGGAGGTTTTTGTTGACTGCTGCTGTGGTAGTGTCATGTGTCTTTGAGATAGTTAGTAGTTCGAGCAGATGTGAGCTTATGCCTTGCTGTTCTACTACTACTACTCCTCCTCCTCCCCCTCCTCCTCCTCCTCCTACTACTACTACTACCACCACAACTACTACTACTACCACCACTACTGCTACTACTACTACTACTACTACTACCACTACCTGTTGCTATTGTTGCTACTGCTGCTACTGGTACTACTGCTACTACTGCTACTACTGCTAGTACTGCTACCGGCTCCTGCTCCTGCTCCTGCTCCTGCTCCTGCTCCTGCTGCTACTGCTGCTGCAGCTACTGCTGCTACCGCTCCGGCTCCTGCTCCTGCTCCTGCTGCTACTGCTGTTGCTGCTGCTGCTGCTGCTGCTGCTACAGCTACTTCTACTGCTGCTGCTACTACGACGACGATGGCCACCCTCGCTACAACTCAAACTGCCACCCAAAGCTTCGTAAATCAACAGGTCGACAGCCAGGGTTTATGGCAACTTTGCGGCAACTGCGCTAGAGCCCGGGAGCAGTTCCTTCTGTTCCAAATGCCCTTGACTCTGAGCCGACACAGAAGCTACGCCTAATATAGGGGCATTAATAATTGGAATAGGGTTCCTTCAAAGGGATCCGTAAAGGGGTCTATAAGGGACCTATAGTACGGTTCTATAATATAGGGGCTTTTTTTAAAATTCAACCGGCTATTGTGGTCATATTATAGTAAACACGATTCTGATGATTAAGGCCCGTATATTAGCCCCAACAAGCGTAGCCTCCAGCCATATAGTACAGCTCAGCAGGTATGATTCCTCAAACCCTATATAGACCCGTACATCCCTAGCATACCTGATAAATGCCGTTGAGGCCCTGATCTTTGAAACCTTCATATCGCACATCTAGACCAATTCTGTCGCAGGTTCGGAGCTGTATACCTCTCAGCAGAGTGACGCCGAGAAAGCTTCGGAGAAGATCATGATGCCGGTGAACATCGGCAGGACTCCTGAGTAGTCTGAGCTCCGCGTTTGACTTCTTAAGCCCTAAGCTCTAAACGCTGAGCCCTTGACCCTAAGCCCTCGACCCTAAAATCCTAAACCCTGCTCTACATGTCCTGCCAAAACATTGTATTCAAGGTTTTTCTAGGTATGGCTTTGGGACATTTTATATCTGCCCTTTTTGGGCTTAAGAGGCTCTTACCTACTAATATCTTTCAAAAGCTTTAGAAGCGGCTCCTAGTTTTGAGCTGGAGGCCTACGGCCCGGCCTGACTCCCCCCAAAGTCGACTTTGTTCACGGCGTTACCCCTGAACCCTAAATACGACTGCTGAGTAGCTGCGTAGGTAATCGTTAACCTTTTTGGGTTTGTGTACAAACCTAGCGACCCTACGATGATTAAACACTTTAACCTTTTTTGGGCTAGGGTACTCAGCCGCTAAGAATAAACTTAGATCCCAAATACCCAACCTTTCAACTTTTTGGGTTCTTCTGGTTTCTTAGGAATCGGAAAGTTTAACCTTTTATTTCTGCGGCTTCTTGGGGAAGTAAGTAAACGAGACCTGACCACTGTGTTTTCTAGCCCCACGACTGATGCTCTTGGACGGAAGATCGGTCCTCAAAAGGCTTCCTTTGAGGGTTCCATTTACAGTAAACTCCATAAAGTTGGAAACCGGATCAAGGCCAAATAGTGTGGGATTCCCTATACATTACTCTTAAGGATTGATGCTATTGGGTTTCCAACTTTTTGGCTTCTACTGTAAAAGGGTATCTCAGCGGTATCTCTTAAAGGGTCCCTTTGAAGATTTCTTCAAGGGTTCCTTTGAGGATTTAGGGTGTAGGGTCCAGCATCAAGGGACTTTCGGGGTTTGATGACTTTAGTGTTTGGGCTAAGGGCAACCCGGAGGGTAACCTTGAACCCTAAACCTTAAACCCTAAACCCTAAACCTTAAACCCTAAACCCTGAACCTTAAACCCTAAACCCTAAACCCTAAACCTTAAACCCTGAACCTTAAGCCCTAAACCTTAAACCCTAAACCTTAAACCCTAAACCTTAAACCCTAAACCCTGAACCTTAAACCCTAAACCCTAAACCCTAAACCTTAAACCCTGAACCTTAAGCCCTAAACCTTAAACCCTAAACCTTAAACCCTAAACCTTAAACCCTAAACCCTGAACCTTAAACCCTAAACCCTAAACCCTAAACCTTAAACCCTGAACCTTAAGCCCTAAACCTTAAACCCTAAACCTTAAACCCTAAACCTTAAACCCTGACCCCTGAACCCTGAACCTTAAGCCCTAATCCTTAAACCCTAAACCCTGAACCTTAAATCCTAAACCCTAAACCTTAAGCCCTAAACCTTAAACCCTAAACCTTAAACCCTAAACCCTGAACCTTAAGCCCTAACCCTTAAACCCTAAACCCTGAACCTTAAATCCTAAACCCTGAACCTCAAACCCTAACTTCACGGCGAGGCCCAACTTTCTGCGAGATATTGCAGCCATCGGCCGGGCCCGGCCCGACAAAAGTCTCCACGTCTACGTCTGCGGCAACTGGGCGAAGATAGGGGCCCAACCTTAACGGGTCCCTATAGTAGGGTTCTATGATATAGGGGCTTTGGATTGGATTGGATTGGATGCGGACACTCGTGCTTCAGGCCGCGTTGTGCGGCACGGGGAAGCGCGTCCCAAAATTCATGCGCGTCTGAATTCGGACTGGTTTCAGCCTTGCGCAGAAATCTGGGACAGCGCCACAGTGTGCACTAAGGCTGGTTAGAGGGTGCAACAGCAATCGTTGGAAAAGCTGTGTTTAACAGCGCCTACGATCAAAAGCGTTCCCTCCTCTAGAACAAAAAGGAGCTGAAGTCCATTCGATGCTACCTCCGTGAACCACCACGAAAAGCCATGCATCGAACATCCTCAGAACAATTGGCCGGCAAGATGCGTCAAGGGCCACCAGGGTCAAAGCAGCCAGGACAGAGCAGGGCAGCACCACCCCCAAGCAGCATACCCGAAGCAGTCATGGGTTGGCGATCATTCACTACCTGCTTGTCAGCAAAGAGCCGTGGCAGAATGCTGGGCATCATGCCCCTGGCCATGCGGATCTGGACCTTCGCTTCGCAAGCCTTGTGTCGGGCCTTAGGGTCATAGACATACATAGGCAGCCTTCCACCCGGATGCGTTGTCTGCCACAGTTCATATTGATCTCGGCCGTCGGCACAGTCCAAAACACGTGTCACCAGGCTCATGCTGAACCATGCAAAACCTTCACCAGGATTGTTGCGACTCCGAGTTTGCGGGACATTCCGAGGAATAGGCTCCCACATGCCTTTCCAAACATCCGTGAGACAAGGAGAATCATGGAGCTGCTGAAATAACATTCGCCCACGCTCCCGTTGACAGCATGTGTTCCCACATGGGCGATCATGCCGCCTGAGCACTGCAACACAAGCAGCACCTGTAGCAAGTATATTGCAGAAAGGTTCCCACTTACCGATACACGGGTCACGCAATCTTGCTATTTGTTCCAGCGGCATCTGCATCAAGTCGAGACCGGAAGTCAGTGTCGCAAGGGTGTTCTCTGCCATTTGCTTTATGAGAGGCCTCTGGGATGTCAGGTCGACGCTTGTCCGGTTTTGTAAGACCAAGCGCAGCTCTCGAAGTGAAACCGCATCCCCATACTCGAGGAGCTCATAAACAGCACGGCCCACCATGGCTGATGTTAAAGACGTTCCCTTCCCCATTTGGGGCGATTCTACAGGAACTGGGGCTACCGATATTCCTGCCCTTGCAGGCGATTCGAGCCCTATATAGGGGCTTTGATTGATTGATTGATTCGGACTGTCGTGCTTCTGGCCGCTTGTGGGCGACACTGGGAAGCGCGTCCCAAAAATCCATGCTGAATTCAAGTTCGAGGCAGTTTGCCCTCAGGGAGGCCCTCATGCCTGTAACACGAGTGGATTCCTGGGGCAGAAATCTGCTTACCCAGCCTATGCACAAGAAGGCAAACTGGGATAAGAGCGGGCTGCAAGCTCCATGAACAACCACGAAAACTTGCAACTGCCACGCTTGAAAAGCCACCTGCCAAAGCGCAAGCTCGGGAAGGGCAGCAGGAGATGTACCCGGCCGGTCTGTCCGAAAAAACCGTCTCCAAACTGAACCCTGAACCCGAAGAATAAAATCACAGGACCATTGAGTTCACTCAGTGCTCTCAGAGGAGGAAACAACGAAGGTGTGGTGGTTACCCGCGCTGAATGCGAACGTCTCATCCGCCCAAGCCTTGACAGCGATTGGCAATCCACCGCGTAGCCACACCACCAATCGAAATGCCGACTCCTCCACTTTGCCGATGCGGCTTGACACCCCCATGTTAGATGTACAGGTCGTGCTGGTCCACGGCTTGACACACATCAGCAGCAGATCACCGTATAGCAACCGCTTCAACTGAAACTCTGACCCCTTCCGGAAGCGGTACACGGACAGCTCGCCGCCATCCTCAAACTGTTCCCCAGCAAAGACGAGCAAGTGCTGCCAGGATGGGGTACTCATGCTGTTTCTGGTACCCCTACCGGCCCCGGTTGCCCGATACTCCACATCAGGCGTGATGCGCTCGCCAGTCCATCGCCTTGTAGGGTTGAGCACGCCACTAAACACCGCAAGCGGTTCCCAACTTCCTTGCCACTTCTGAATTGTACCGATTTCATCAGACATCTGGGTGAACATCAGTAAGCCACGCCCGTACCCCGGCCAAACGCTAGAGGTGGTTGCAGGAGCTGAAAGGCATGTATTCCCATGTGTTGGGCCATCATGTCCTTCGCCAGTCCACACATCAACAGCCTCATGGGCGCAGTGTTTGATAAAGGTACGCCAGGGCAAAAGGTCCATACACATCCGGCACTCCAGAGCTTCACGAAGACCTCTCAGTGAAATGGGGCCTTGTGGCAGCAACTGAGGAATGGCGTCAAAGATCAACATCCTGATGGTAGGTTGCACTCGATCGCACTCGGGATCAGCAGCATCAGCATACTGCAGTGTCAAAGCGCTGTCCCACATGACGTTCCGCAGAACTGGGGGTACCAGCAATGCCGCACTATCGCGACACAACTGGGTGACGAACCGATTTCGGTTCTGGGGCACTACGATATTCCGGTCTTGCACCGGCGATTCGGGCCCTATATAGGGGCTTTAATAATTAGAATAGGGTTCCTTAAATGGGCTTCTAGGACCTAGATTAGGCCCTTATTCCCTTTTTTAGGGTTCAGGTTCCCTTATAAAGCCCCTTTAAACCAAAAAGGGCGTCCTTTTTATCCCTGGGTTACTCTTGGGTCTAGGCTTGAATAATTAGAATAGGGTTCCTTTAACGGGATCCTTAAAGGGATCTATAAGGGACCTAAAGTAGGGTTCTATAACATAAGGGCCTTAGTAATTGAAATAGGGTTTGAGGCCCATTATACTACAGTTATAATAAGACCCCCAAGACAGTAGGTTCTTCAGGATATGCCCTTTGAGTTTGGCTTCTGGGTTCCAAAGAGAACATGACATGACGAACTTAGAAAAGATGTACTTTTCCCCAGTACTTGGAGGTTCATGGATAGTTGTAAGTATGGTTATACGTCCCCTAATATGAGTTTTAAGTATAGCTACCCCACTTATATCCCGACTTAGAACTACCCATGAACCTCCAAGTAGTCCCTAAACCCTATAAGCCCTAAACCCTAAATCCTAGAATCTTTTACTGTTCCCAAGTAGGTTACCGAAGAGCCTAGGCAATGACGGACTCGTCCATGACCTGCAATCTGGGTGACCGGATCTCAGAGCAGGGTCGAGCGTTTAGGGTTTTAGGGTTTAAGGGTTCAGGGTTTCGGGTTTAGGGGCTAGGGTTTAGGGTTTAGCTAGGTTCTTGTGATTTAGAGCACGAGATTGGGTGCTCGTTGCTGAGCCTAGAAAGGCATTAACATGCTGGTTGTTGTGGCTCCAAGGGGCTTTCTTGCACGAAGCGGCCCTTTGAAGCTTAAGTTTAGGGTGTCGCACTCTTCTACCAACCTCTAGAAAGGATCCGAAAATGGAGCAACTTGGTTCAGGTGCGCTTTTCTCCTGATTCGATAGCCTAAACCCTAAACCCTGACAAAGGTTGCTGATTCGATCTCCTCTCCTGCATTTCCTCAGCTCAGTTGGTCTCTGCGGGCAGTTGATCCGAGTGACGGTTTCGGAGTTTAGGGTTTTGGGTGCAGATTCTGGAGTTTATGTTGTGCTTTGTGGGGGGGGCCGTAGGTTCGACCTAGACTTGCTGCTTGCCAAATCCGTATAGAAGCCGCGAAGACCCTTTGCAGAACCCTGACGGAATCACCGTCGTAGAGCTGTCGGCCATCGTTGTCGAGGCCAGCGCATTGCGAAGGAAGCTCTGGAACGGAACCCAGATCAGAAGAACCTCCAGCAGTGCCCTGGGAAAGAGCGGGCTTTGCGGCTTGGCGCTTCGCACGTGGAAGGGATTCTCTGTGGTTTGGGCATGCCTCGGGTGTTTAACTTAGCTTTCGTGACGTCAAGTCCCAATCCACGTGGCATCTCGCCGCAGTGGGAGCCATGTCCCGGAAAACGTTGTCCGCGGCGCGCTGCGTGGGAATATTGGTCCATTCCTCTTTACACTGAACGTTGGAGACCCATAGTGTGGGACCACAATCACAATGTTTTGGGAACATACACGCATACACATACACGCAGATGGTTGATGGACATGCAAAGTGGTAAACGAAAACCACTCAAGATATGCATGTGTATGTACATGACGTTCGTGTATAGACATGCACAGGAATCTGTGCAGGAACATGTTGTGTCCGAATCAAATGTTTCGATGAACACACGGCGCCAGATCCTCTGTTTCTTGATGTTTGGATGGCTTTTGTAGGGAGCTCACAGGCTACCTTACCCAGAGGCCCCAGAGTAGTTCTTTTTTGGGGATTACCTTATAGGATTCTATATATGAACCCCAAAAAGGAACTACTTTGGGGCCCTTGGGTAGGCGCACTTCAGCGAAAGATGGAGCTGACAGGAAAGACTCGAATGGTGAATGCCTCACGTGCGGCGCTAGTTTCGCCGCTGACGCGTTCCTTTCTTCAGACTCTCAAGGCAAATCGAAGTCCTACCAAGCCAGACACCTCAAAGCGCAGTCACGGTATTCTTGCAGAGATGAGCCCCTGAAAAAAAGAGCAGGTACCTCGTGCACTTCGAGCGCTTCGGATGACTTCGGACCGCTGGCAGGGCCTGCAGCGCACGGAGTTTGCCATCATCGGGCTTTGGGTTTAAGTAGGGGGTCGAGTGCTGTGCAGTCGCTGTCGGTGTCGGTGGCTGTTTGTGTAGGTGTGGTGTGCATGCATGTATGTATCAGTATGTATGTGTGTTTGCGTATGTGTGTGTGCGCGTGCGTAAATGTGTGTTTGAGTGTCCATTTGCCTCTCTGCCTGCCTGCCTGCCTGCATGTATGTCGGTCTGTATCTCTGTCTCAATTTCTTGTTGTCTGTTTGTCTGTCTGTCTGTGCCGAGGAACAGGTGCATAGCGGAAAGTACAGATAAGCCAGGTAGGCCTGCGTACACGATCATAGTCGGACATGCGCATCACCAATCTCAGCTTGTTGCACTTGTGTCAAGTTCCTGATCTTGACACAGTCAAGCCTTTTCCGTCACGAAGATTTGGCCAGGTCGAAACCTTAAGCCACATGCTTTGTTACATGTGGAAGGATATTATGTCAGGGTTACCTATCCCAAAAGTAGGTAAAAGGTAAACCATGACCCAACACCTTTTCAAAAGGTCATTATTCTACATACCCATACCCTTGGGGTTCAGGTAAGGATTTTTGGTTTTTAGTGCTGGGGCTTATGGGTTTCAGTATAGGGCCGGCAGCTCAGTTTCCAGGCCTCATATACGAATAGTGTTGCCTTCTGGTCCATGTGTATCAGGTGTAAATTGTATAGCATACCCCCCCCCCCCTCCCAAAGAAAATCAACACAAAACACGAGGACCCTACCATTGTGCTCTTTTTTGGAGAACTGCTGTAGAAGAAGCTATCTCCCACGAGTCTTGTCGAGTCCAGGTAGTGTGCGGGGTCCTTGCTTCTGAACCCCTACACTCTGCCTGGGCCGTGCGGAACCTACTGTTTTAGGGTTCCGGTTTATGGTGTCCTTATATGAAAGGTAGGTTACTAAGCTTATTCGGGATTAAGGTGTTAATCCCTAGTGCCTGAACCCCAACTACTGCGCCGCAGGACAGATGCAAAGCATGGCTGTCTGGCAATCATACGGAGCTGAGGTGGCTGAGGAGAGTTTGTGAGTTCATAGGAAAGCCTTGGCAAGGGCTTCACTATTGGCAGCAAAGAGGCTGGGAATGACTTCGTTCAAATATAAAGATTACCCTGCCGAGGATGGTATGTGCCGGGAAATTGTGCAAAATCGCTGCACTCCGGCTTTTTCCTATGGGCGAATAATGCTCATCGTTACCTTTTCAACCCTACTGGTGCTTAAGGGCGAGTGGAGGAGTGGATCCCTATAGTTAGTATTCACCACCCTATGTGATACTTAGTAGTCGTCCTCATATTCTTTCCGCCACTCTTGCTTAAGCACCGGCAGGCAACTGCATCTCATGCTCTATGGTTCGAAAAGATCCCGCAGAGGAAATGAGATGTCCCGTTTCAAGCTCGTGAATGAGTGCCACGTTTCGGTGCGAAGATCAGATGGAAGGTTGTTCTCAACTATTGGGTCCTCAGCGCTTGGGGCTCTAGGGGTTTAGGGGTTTTAGGGGTTTTAGGGGTTAAGGGTCTGAAAATTAGGGTTTCTTGAAACAGAACCTTGAAAGTGGGATCTTCAAGAGAGGCCTCGCAGGGAACCCAAATTAAGAACAACCTCCACATGGTACTTGCAGCATCGCGTCTGCAGAAGTTTACAAAATGCGGTGTGGGATCGGATCGGGCCTCAGGGGCTTGATGTTTCGATCTAGGTGGCTCCTTTTAAAGGGATCTCTAAGGGTTCCTAGGGATCTATAGGGTTCCTTTCAAGGGATCATAGGGTTTGGGGCTTAGGGTCCTTAGGGTTTAGGGATTGTGGTTTCAGGGTTGAGGGTTTGGGGCTTAGGGTCCAGAGTTTAAGGTGGCTGATTGCTTTCAGTGGGTGTGCAGTGTAAATTAGTAAACCAAGCCTACATGATCTGCTAAAAGAAGCTGGGCGTTAAGGAGACGTTCTGCCTGAATAGGGGGGGGGTCTATTACGGATCTATGTAAGGGTTCTGTGTCAGGGGTCCTAAACTCCTAAACGGCCTCAAGCCCCAAACCCCCAACGCCCTCAACCTCCTAAGCCCTAAACCCCCTAAACCCTAAACCTCTTAAGATCCCCTAAGCCCCAAGCCATTGTAAGGGTTCCGTAAGATCAGGGTTTGGGAGTATGTTATAATACAATCATAATAAGGAACCCCAAAACCCCATTCTAATTATTAAGGCCCTTACAGTATGTAAGGGTTCTGTCTGAGGGGTGCCTTCGCTCCGAAGATTTCAGGTATTTTTCCTCTGGGAGTTGGTCTCTGGGCCACTCTTGCTTGCAAGATGGGGCCGTGGAGACTCCCACCCTCACTACTTGGAGGTTCGTGGGTAGCTATAAGTTATATGTAGGGTAATAAGTCCCCACTATGCTTATAACCACACTTATAGCTGCCCATGAACCTCCAAGTAGACTCGGAGGCGACATGCACTCCGTGAGATTTCTGAGCTTCGAATGCAGCCGTCCATACAACCCAGAAAACACTCAGCCGGCACCACTACGCTTGGCGGCGGGGTTTAGGATCCATGTGCCTCCGGTGCCCCTCTTTGGCTCCACTGTGGGATAGGGTGCATGGGATCGAATGCGGATGACTAGGTGACTAGGCAGAGGATTCAGACCCTACATTATCTCAAGAGATGATGGCTACTGCGGTCATGAGCAAAAGAACATGCAGCGCGCTTTTACAGTACCCTCCTACCAGTCTTAGCCCCGACAGATTCGATTTCCGCTTCCACTCTAAGCCAGTCCCGACCCAGGAGCCCCGGACGGGGCCCTTCCTACGGAAGCTCCCAGCCCCCGACCTCCATGGCTAGCTGACGTCGAAGCCCGGACGCTGCTTGAGGCCATCGCACGGCATCCTATACACTAGCCCCAAGATCTCCAACACCAAAGGCTCACAAACGAACCCTCGAGACACTAAACCCTGAAATGTCTACAAGTCATGCACATGAGACACTAAACCCTGAAATGTCTACAAGTCATGCACATGAAAGTAGGTCTCAGAGTCAGTCTTAGCGTTTATGAAGGCTTAGGGGGTTATACCTCATCGAAGTTATCATCCCTAGCCGAGCCCTTTAGAAGGTTCAATACGGGATTTCGTAGGTTTGGTGCAGGATTTCTGGGTTTTCTTCTCTGGATTTCTATGTTTCGTGTTAACGATGTTTTGTTGTATTTCCAGGTTGTTGTTCTGGAGCAGAATCGACAGTTTCGCTGGGGTCCGCGTTTGTTCGGGGAGCCAGGGTTCATAGTGGTGCTGGTTGTTTGTCGACGGGGGCATCAGGGAGCATAGGCCTTCAATACTTTATGGATCTGTGGTTGTTACCCAGAGGCCCCAAAGTAGTTCCTTTTTGGGGTTACCTTATAGGATTCTATATATGAACCCCAAAAAGGAACTACTTTGGGGCCTTTGGGTAGGGCAGGGGATTTACAGGGTTGTTCATGTCTCCGGGCTGTAAACAAACCTGGTTTTGTGATTTCGGATTTAAGTTGCGGGTTTTGAGGCTCGCGGTAGTAGTCGTCGCAGTAGTTTTCGTTCACGTCTTTCGAGTATACCCATAGGCCCCAAAGTAGTTCCTTTTTGGGGATTACCTTATAGGATTCTATATATGAACCCCCAAAAGGAACTACTTTGGGGCCCTTCGGTATGTTGAGTGATTGCATGCCACGGTGGTGTTCGGCTCCTCTAAGCGCTTCGGCGCGGTGTCGAAATCCAGCCTTTCATAGTGTGTATAGGGCTTTAGAGTGTCGGGAGGGGTCTTGGGTTTTTTGGAGTTTTGCAACCTGTCGAACCCTTACAGCGCTGCTAAAGTCCCTGTACCACCCCAGAAGACTTTGCAGACACAGTTGACAGGCATGGCCTTCACGTGGCAAAAGGCTGGACCCTGAAAGCAGGGTTGTTTGGCAGTGGCGTCGTTTTCGTAAGGCGCTCCTGGAAACGGGGATAGGCAAGTTTAGCTACTAAAGACCCCATACCAACCAGTCAGAACGTAGGAGTGGGTTTAAGCCAAGAAATAGGTGAACGTCAAGTTGGGGCGCAGTGCAGAGCCTGCACCGATTCCACAAAAAAAGGTGTGCTGAGTGTACGCCGCAGGGGCTGTTTTAAATATTGGGGAGTGGTCATATGTGGTCATAGTGGGCTTCGCTTTGAGTTTGAAGTTTTGGGGTTCTTCGAACCAGGCTCCGATTCAGTCGCATAATGTCTTTTACCCCCAAGTTGTAACGCTCTTCACTCCAAGTTGACCCTACTCTCAGCCTGTGGGAGAAGTTTCCACCTTTGTTTCCAGGCACCTCTGTCCGTAGCATGTCTGCATCGAGAGGTACCAGAGGACCCAAAACAATATCGCGTGCTAACGTCACCACATGCATGCATGCACGCACGCGTGCATTGGCACGTGTTTGCGGGTTGGATGTGCAACGTACATATAGGGATATGGAGTTTTGTACTATAGTTATGCAGACAGCCTTGCATGCATATGTACATGGGTACAAGCATACCAACATACATGCACAGACCGATACATGCAGCATGGATTGCAAACATACGGCAGAAGCTTAGACAACTACTATAAGCCATTGTAAGCATACTATAACACAGCCGAAAACTCTATTCTCACTGTTACGGATGACATGACAATCCCTGTAAACCCTAAACCCTACAAACTCTTAGCCCAAGTTGTTAAGGATTCTCATTGGTGAGGACTACATACGAGACTTGCAACAGGGATCCGGAGAAGCCCAATCCCTGCTTCTTGGAGGATCATGGGACTTAGTAAGTAAGGTCATAAGTACCTTAATTGGGGGTTATAAGTAGTTTTAAGTGTAGTTGCCCTAATTAGAACCCTAGTTACGAAGTCCAATGATCCTTTAAGTGAAGTCGCAAGAAGCCCGATGCCCGGCGAGACTCAACATGACGAGATGTGGCCTGCGTTTAGGGACCAAAAAAGGACATAAGCACAACCTTTCTACAGGGATATCCCGACCTTATGGGGCTTCAATATAAGGGGGTTTTATATGGGATATCACTATCAGTGTTCTTGCTTATGTGCTTTTTCGGGGCCCTGTTCCTGTAGCGTCGAACCCTGCGCCTTGCCGTCACAGTTTAGGCTTTAAGGTTTAGGGTTTATAGTGCTAAAAATTGGTTTTACCCTGAGTTACAGTTTAGGGTTTAGGGTTGCAAGACCTAACTTGCTTTACTGTTTTACCCAGGGTCACAGCTTAGGGTCTAGGCTTTATAGAGCTTTACCCCAAACCCAGAAATCTAGAATCCAAGCTTCTTTCAGCTGTGTCAGGTGAATCCAGATGGTGCGTTGGACTTGCTGCCGCTTCCATACCGGATCATCGATGAGGCCCGGCCTCAGCCAAACGGGTGCTCCATTGGGGGCCATAATGATCGGACGAGGCTTTTTACCGTTTTTTGTAAAGGGTTGTAAATGGGTTACTAAAGGGGTTCTATGATATAGGTGCACTTCATAGTGTCAGTAGGTTCTTGGGGTACATGCCGCTGTGATTCCGAATCGACTATGACAGAATACGAATACCACTTATTCTGAACCCTCTGTTTCGCTTGGGGGTCCCGCCGAAATACCCACCTAGCACAGATCAGGGCGTCTATTCTGAGAAGTATCGTTTTTGGTATCTACACGGACCCTGTTGGATGGTCATGATGCAGAGCGATGACGGCAATACACAGAGTGGGCAAGAGTCGGAGCAACGGTAGGAGTATTGCCAGTGCAAGGCGCAGTAAAGCACGCAGAATTGAGCTTCCCCTATCCCAGAAAGCCTAAACCCTCATCCAACAACTCCACAGCCCAAACAAACAATCCTAAAAGCAAACTAGAAAGGCTAACCCTATTCCCCAAGCCTTGCATGAACCCAAGGTAGTGGAGGACATCGTCGAGGCAGTCGGCGAGCAGGTCGACATCATCGAAACTCGGAAGAGGTGGGTGATCATCCGTTCATGTATGACCGCTGCTTTCCTTGAGCTGCAGAGGGATAAAGGGAGCACCCAATACCACACTGAAATCTTCACAAGCCTCTCAACCCCTGAACCCCAAACGCGCACGGTCCTCACCGCAAGCTTGTAAAGCCCTACTAAGCCCCAAAGCCCCAAAGCCCCTGAGCCCAAAACGGACAGTTTATAGGCTTCCACCATGTGTAGGCTTCCTCAACCCTAAACCCCGAACCTTACCCTAAACCCCTCAACCCCAAACCCAACACCCTAAGCCTTGTTCCTCGATGAACGAAGCTATGAAACCGCGACTAGGACCTAGAGTACGCACTTATTCCATTTTTTAGGGTTCAGGTTACCTTAAACGCCCCTTTAAACCAAAAAGGGCACCCTTTTTCTTCCTAGGTTACTCTTGGGTCTAGACTTCCATGGGAGGTCGGAAACTTGCGAGTTCGCTCTTCCCGAGGTGGCGTGTCGTTTTAGGGTTTCAGGCTTTAGGGGTTTCAGGGTTTAGGTTTAGGGTTCAGGGATTAGGGTTTAGGGTTCAGGGTTTAGGGTTTCAGGGTTCCGGGTTTAGGGTTTCCGGGTTGAGAGTTCCGGGTTCGGGATGTCTTTCAGGGTTCAGGGTTTAGGGTTCAGGGTTTGGGGCTCAGGCTCGTAAGGGCTTAGGATTTGGAGTGGCTTGTCAACGAAAGACTGGGGCTGTGGCTTTAGGGCCTGACCTACGGTCTGGGGTTAGGGAGGGCAGACAAAATTGCACATCGCTTACGACCTGAAACTGTAGGAGGTAAGGGGATTTCGTTCATCAGCAGTACGACTTAGAGCGGCAGCCCTTACCTTCTGTTGCAGCCTGACTCCACTAGGAAAAGCTGCAATGCGGCCCATTCAAACAGTCAGGAAACCCGATGCCCTAAGACCTAAATCCACTCCCTAAACTCAAACAAACATATCCCCTAAGCCCTAAAGTTTCGTCAAACCCGAAGTCTTAAAACCTAAACCCATTAAAGTCCCTGAACCCAAACAAACATATTCCCTAAGCCCTAAAGTTTCCATAGCTTTGCCTTGTCGGGGGTAGACAAGGTTTGGGCATTGGGTCTTCTCTGGGCGCGACTGTCGGATAGGGATTGTTTTCACAGTGGTTTCAGGGTTCCGGGTGCAGCACGGGGGATTAGTTCTGTGCGCGGGTTCAATGTGGACTCAATTCTTTACTCGTCTTGTCGGTGCTCTCGGGCCTTCAGGAGATGTTTGCGCCTTCGCCATGCTTTGCAACGTCGGGATACTGCTGACGAAAAATCCTGAGCGGGCATATCTGAGCAGTAACGGTTGTCAGGAAAAACACAAGACGCTGAACCACTAAACCCCACACCAGGAACTAGTGTGAGCGAAATTTGTCTGGGGGGGGGGGGGGGGGCGGGGGTACGCCCATTAGGGTTTTGCTACTTTAGAATTCAGGGTATGGCGGTGTAGGGTGACAGCGTGTTCTTTGGCGAGCAGACTTTGGAAAAGACATGGAAAACAAAGCCCGTCTAATATATTATATACTCTTCATTATATATTCTTTATTATTATATATATATATATATATATATATATATATATATTAATCTATATATATATATATATATATATATTAATCTATATATATATATATACTATACATTTAGTACTTGAACATGTTCAGTCCTTGGGTTTGAGCACTGGAGGTTCACCTAGATCCCAAACCCTAAACCCCAAACCCCTACACTTCCCTCAACCCTAACCCTAAGCAATAAACCCTAAATCCCAAACCCTAAACCCCAAACCCCTAAACTTCCCTAAACTCTAACCCTAAATCCCAAACTTCCCTAAACCCTTGGAGCATTCGGGGTTGAGGCCTCCAGGAGTTCAGCTATTACATGCGTTGCTTAACGAGTGCGCCATGATGGGAGGCATGATGGGTTTAGGTGGTACTTGGAGGTTCATGGGTAGCTATAAGTGGGGATATGAGTAGGGTAACTATACTTATAACCCATGAACCTCCAAGTAGCTCATATCCAAGAGTGTAAAGCTCAATGAAACCCAAAAAAGATTGCGCTCGGCCGCAAACAGTAGTGGACTAGCCGCAGCAGTCAGCCAAGAGGCCAGTCACCCAGTCGGCAGGCTACGCCAGCTCTATCCCGTTATGGTTCGTGGACACATGCTATTCTATAATATCCTCCAAAACCCCATTCCAAACATTAAGGCCCCTATACGTCTCTATGGGTCAGACATCCGAAGCCCCATGCAAGTCACGCCCAGGCTATACCAACATCCCTGGTCCAGGCCCTCCTGGGTGTTCTTGCTTGTTTAGGCTTGGCTTGGGCCGTTTAGGGTTGCAGGCTCCGTTGGTGTCTCCAGGCTATATACTAGCTTCTTTGCTATTCATGTTGGGCTGAAATCATCATGAGAGCCTCCAAGGCTGATTGACCTTCGTAATTAATCAATCTTGCAGTTTGTGCACGCGTGAAGTACCACGTTGTGTGATAGACCGTGGCTACTAGTGCTCTAGCAGGAAAAAATAGATTGCCATAATACTTGAACGGGTATTTGGATCAGTGCTTGTGTGCAGTGGTATACCCCAACTATAGAACTCTATATATACAGAAGTATAGCACTGTTCTCATGTGTTGGGACAGAGTCAGTCTGCTCTCCCTGCACCCCAGTTCTTGTAAGTCGTTGACATGGCATCTGGATCAGGGTTCATTGAACTGAACACCTTAGACACCAAGAACCCAAGCGCGCCAAAGAAAAGACTCCTTGCCAGTCTTATAGGAGCCTTAATGATTGAAATAGGGTTTTGGGGGTTCCTTATTATGATTATAGTATAATGCACCGCCAAACCCTGTTCTAGTTATTAAGGCCCCTATAGTACACCTCCGTGCAGGATGCCACACTCAAGATCAGCACAACCACTCAACAAGCTACGGTTGATGATATAAATCCTGCATTACCCATAATAGGGAATATACCATAACTCCCATAATTTAAAGTCCTTAAGGTAATGCAGGATTGTTAGCATCAACCGTAGCACATGAAAAGACGAAAGCAATGCCATTGTGGAATTTGCGAGGTCTCCGGGCACATCGCCTGTGCCTATGTGGAACCAAGAGGTACCACAAGGCATCGGGGAGAAAATCCCAGTGGCCAAGACGGTGCAATCTGTTGTGAGCTGTCGGAGACAATATTTGTGTGTGTGTGTGTATTGTATATATATATATATATATATATATATATATATATACACGTACATGTATGTGTGCATGCATGCATGCATGCATGGATGTATGTATGCATGTATGTACGTATGTATGTATGTATTGTGTACACGCATGTGTGACTGAGAGTTGTGTGTGTGTGTGTGTACTTGTTTGTCCAATTACTATTCGCGTTTCAACGCTGGGCTGCTTCGGATTGTCCATGCGTAGGGCGCATGTGGGCAATCAGCCGTACATGTTTTTAAGATATCGAGCAAACTGGAAGTAGTTACTGTCAGTCGCATCCATATATGTGTATGCGTACAGAACTGCATGCGTGCATACATACATACCCATGCAAACACTTACACATATATGCACACATGCATACACACTCGCAAAACAAGCAAAGACACATACGTACATACACACACACATACATACACCCATACATGCCGACATACATCCGTGCATACATGCATAGGCACCGATCATCGCATCAGTTTACATCGCAGACGTGCGCTTCCGACTATATGTGTGAAGTCAGCTTGCAGCTGCTTCAAGCACTGGGCTTTTGGCAGGCAAACAGTGGTCGTAGTCGTCGTAGTAGTCGTAGTAGCAGGAGCAGAAGTAGTAGTAGTAGTAGTAGTAGTAGTAGTAGTAGTAGTAGTAGTAGTAGTAGTAGTAGTAGTAGCAGTAGTAGTAGTAGTAGTAGTAGTAGTAGTAGTAGTAGTAGTAGTAGTAGTAGTAGTAGTAGTAGTGGTCTCAGAGATAAGTTCAAGGTTATCCTACCCAGCCAGCGTTCATGCACCAAACAACTCGGGCTGACAAGCCTGTCGCTTGCATCGCAGACCTTGCGCATGTTCACAACAAACATACAGCCTAACACTTTAGACCCTAGTGGAGCGGTTTAGCTGACCAGCCGTCCAAACGAAAAGGGCCCTTCAACACCAATAGCAAAAGCCCTCCCAAACCCTAAGCCAACCTGCGCCGCGAGGATGGCGGTTGGCACCAGCCAGGGTGAAGCCTTGTTGATTGACTCCAGGAAGGGGGAGGTGTGCTGGATGCAAGAAGGTGGTTTTGGGTTTAAGGCTTAGGGAGGACCCAGAGGCATCCGAATGTGAATGAGAGGGATCCACAAGCTGTAACTATATCGGGCTGCTGAATTTTATTGAGGTGCACCGAGACTTAGTCGTCCTGGACTTGGTGATTACTGTTTGAGTTTTTGGTGTCGGGGCTGGCAGTGTAAAGAAGCAAAGACGTGTGCGTGAGATGGTCGGCTGTCATGTTGTTTTGCATGTGTCTTGCATTCCATGCCCTTCTGCTTGATTTGGGGCTCCGGGCATTTGGACCTTAGGAGCTTGGGGTTTAGGGTTTAGGATTTAGGGTTTAGGGTTTAGTAGGCTTAGTTGAGGTTTGGGATTGAAGCAGGGGGCAGAAGGCGGAGATTTTCATCGCGATGACAGTGGCATCCCAACATGTGCCGGGCATTGCCTATAGCCTGAAGCACAGCTATGTAATCGCAAAATCCAGGAAAGAAATAGGGGAGCCTTTTGATATGAGAGGGAAGGGATTACACAGGATCCTAAACCCAGAAGCTTAAACCTTCAGGCCCCAACCCCAAACCCTAAACCCTAAACCCTAAACCTAAAACGAAAAAACCCGAAGCCTTTCAGAGGATCCCTAAACCTCAAAGAGCCCCAAAACCTAACAAGCCCGATCGGGTTTTTGTGCGTGTTTAGCCCCGCGCTATGAGGGCCCATAAGCACGAAGGCCCCAACACCTTATGCCCTAAAGCTTTAGGGATCTGAGGAGTTACTGTACTATAAGTATAGGAACTTTCTTGCTCTAATGAGATTCTAAGGGATGATAAACAAACTTGGTTGTATTATGTCCTCTCAGATCGCTTAACTTTAGGGATCTAAGGACTCATATATTAGGGATTTTGGGCCCAAAGACCATACTATATAAGGCTTTTGGGCAATATTGATTTCTAGGGTAAGAACGCCCTAGAATTCTCAGGTCGTGGCACATGCCCACCCTTTCCACGAAAGCGAGCCGGTGACGTGCGTGTCGATCTGTTCAGAGTCAGCCTACCAGGACACGATTCGAACGGTCAGGGTTTACCTAACCCTAAAATCTACTGCCTTCTTCTGGGAAATCGATTTGTTGGAGAAGTGACGGGTTGCCTTACGTAGGTTCTAAAAGAAACGAAGGGATCCAGAACAAGGTACTGCATTCCGGGAGTCTAAGCAGGGTTTTCTGGTTTAGGCTTTGAGGGTCAAGCTAGGCGCACTTCTCTTAGGTTACATCTGGTCTATCGGACAGTGAGGGTTCCGGATATATGGGGTTCTTTTCCAGAATTTAAGGAGTTGAAGGATTTCGCATGACTACTCGTCAGATTTCTATCAAAGGTTCCACTAGACACCTTGTAGTCGTCGCAAAACCCGACCCTGAACCCCTAAACCCCACACCCGAAGCCTGGCCGATGAAGCGTTGATCTTGGCTTCTGGGCTCTGGCAAAGGAGGGTAATTTAACTTATCATCGCGCGAGTGCGTGCGAAGTGACATGCCTTCCCTGTTGGGACATGACAGGTCTGTTGTAAGTTCCTGATTGGTACGGGCTGTAGGCATGGGGGGGATCTTTGCCTTTCGGGTCTGCGGGTTTGTAGGCTTTGCTCTAGATTAACGCCTAACGCCTAACCCCCCAAAGCCTAAACCAAAAGCCCCTAAGCCTGAAACCCTCCTGCAGGGAAGTGGCGTGCACTAGCAGGGCAGCTCTAGCAGGGCTCCAGGTGAGGATTTGTCAGGCACCTTATGTGCCCATTGGTGTTTCCAAAGGTTTCAGGTTTAATTAGAGTTTGAGGTATAGGATGCGGATCCTGAGGTTCCTCTGAAAGCATCCTTTTGATGCTAAAGTAATTTGCGGCTGGGCCAAGTGAATACGAGGCCATCGATCAGTGGACATATGGGTTCATGCGTGTCGGGGCATTTTGGGTATTGGTGAGATTTGACGTGTTGACCAACACTCTAAGGTGCAGTATGTCCTTCTGTTGCGACAAGCTGTGGGAAGAGACTTCTACACGTCAGCGTGCCAGACAAAGCTAACACAAAAACCTGAGCCTCAGCTCTGATTGACCCAGAGCGGCAAAAATGAATCTTTCTTTGACATTCCAAAAACCTTATATGACTGCTGAAGGACCTATGTACAGACATCATTATACGGAGCCATAAAATACAGCTTTTCTAGGGCACAGTGAACCGCAAATAGTTCAGTTTATTGTCTCTCCACAGTATCGAGCTTCGCATATGTTCCCAAGCTCCGAGGACTCAGGCTGTATAGGAGTTTCCGAAAATAGGGGACCCCAATATAGTACCCTAAATAGTAGGACCCTTATTATAAGGACCCCCCAAATAAGGTACCCCCCAATTTTCTGAAACTCTAAACCCGAAGCCCTTTATAGAACCCTTACAGATCCCTTTAAAGGAACCCTAAGGTACCCCCAATTTTTCTGAAACTCCCATATAGGGTGAGGTTTTGAGAGCTGCCAGCAACATCGCAGGAGGTCTTCGCTGGACCTGGTCGGGGTCTGAAGAGCTTGGGCTTAGTAGTTCAGGGTTTAGGGTTCAGGTTTAGGGTTTAGGGTTCAGGATTTAGGGTTCAGGTCTTGGGGTTTAGGGTTCAGGGTTTAGGGTTTAGGGTTCAGGATTTAGGGTTCAGGTGTTGGCGTCTAGGGTCATTTCCTGCATGGTTCGAAACAGGGCTCTTACATCTCAGCCCACAAAGCATTTCGGTTCGGGACTTGGCGGTCTTGAGGGGTTAAGTTAGGGTTTCTCCAGGTGCAGGGCCTCTTGGCTTTAGGGTTCAGCGTTGAATCGTTCGTCTGCATTCCTTCGTAAACCCGGCGGGCTTCACCAAGATCATGTATTGTGGCCACAGCATTCCACACGGACATCGGTATCGGCATGCCAGACCATGACAAGCAGACCCTAAACCCTAAATCCTAAACCCTAAACCCTAAACCGGAAGCTAAGCCAATTTGTGGTTTGCACCCAAAACCCTCGAGAGCCCCTCCAGTCAGTGACTAGCCCAAACCGGTGAACTCAAGAAACCTGAAACCCCCAAACCCCTGAAACCCCCGTACTGCTGGGATTCGAGTTGGTTTTCAGGGGTTTGCAGCTCGAGAGGTAACGGGGTCGAACTTACGTTCAGGGTTTTGGTGTTGTTGCTTCTCTGGGTATTTTGGTGTGTTCAGCACTGTCCCATCTTTGCCTTGGGACTTGAATCTCAAAGGCAAAATCCTGACGGCGATTTCCTGATGTGACTCTTTGTCTTTGCTGCACGTAGGTAAGAATCTCGACTCGAGGATACCTGTAGGCGTGCTGCGCGGCTACCGAGTCTGGGCCGTGCGGATGCCAAACTTGGGCTTTTTTGCTATAGAAGCCTGAGTGAATCACAAGAAGGTTCCTTTTCATATTTCTAGTAGGGTATACCCAAAGCCATATGCTAATCAAAAGCCGTAGGGTAGTGCTGTGTTCACAAAAGCAGGAACTTCCTACACAAAGCCTTGCAACCGAATATCGGGGTCTGCACATGTGGGAAAGCCTTTCCTCAATTGTCACTGAGGCTGCTCTGTATGGGTAGTTCTCGAAATCAATAGCAGGGACCCGAATGCGGACAGGCCCTAAACCATAGCACCTTAAGCCCGAAGTTCAGAAACACCTGCAGGTGTGGATGCGCCCTCCCTGCCCAGCCCGAACCTGAAGCTCTTCGTCCCGGTCTCGGAACGCGTGTGTTGGTGAATTGAACTGTTCGAGCATAGGGGCCTGAGCAGTTATTAGTATTATTATCCCCTTCTGGTCCCTGCCATAATTATGTAGCGCCTTATCCCTCAGAACCCTATCGAAATATTATTATGACCAGTTACGATGATTCTCGTCATGATTATTGTCAGTACTGCTAGGTCCCTGACATTGGTGCCGACTGCGAAGACTGGCGCTAATCATCAAACGACATTGCCATAACAGCAGCAATCAGCGATGGTAGCGCAGTAGTACCTTCAGGGTTGTTTACGTCAGCAAGTAAGCAGGCAAGCAAGCAAGCAAGTAAACAAATGAGTAAATGAGTAGCGACCAAGTCAGTCAGGGAGTCAATGAGATAGTGGTTGGGTAGGCAAGTAAGTAAGTACGTATGTAAGCAAGAAGTAAGTTACTGACCAGTTATGCAAGTAACTGAGTGAGTAAATCATTGAAGCCAGTCATGAAGGAAAATGTCAGCGAGGATTACAACGGCAGCTTCGACGATGACTTAAGGCTTTCAACAGGCCAGTGCAAACAGCAGCAGCAGTTTCAGTTGCAGTCGCTGTAGTCGTCGTCGCCCTTGTCATCGTCGTTGTCAGCGGTGCTGGTGGAAAGGATAACAGGCTCGCGGCAACAGGATGAAGAATAGTTGCAAACTTGATATTGCTGGCAAGCATCTCCATCCTGCCCATCGCCATCATCCTCATCACCATGTTCAGGGTCTCTATCTTCAGCACCACTACCAATACGATCGCGAACGCAGTCATATAGGGGCCTCAATACAATACTATTTGGGGGTTTCCTGATGAATTATTGCTATAGTATAATGGGGCCCCAAAACCCTGTTCAATTACTAAGGCCCCCATATCATAGAGCCGTATTATGAGAAGCCTTTACAGGAACCCATCAGAGGAACGCTTGAAAGGAACCCTGTTCCAATTATTGAGGCCCCTATACCCTGTAGTTTGGGTACGGCCGCCACTCAGTAATATAGTTGAATAGTATTCATAATTCATAATATAGATATATTAGGACCTTAATAGTAGCCGTATTATAGACTCTTGCTGTAAGGAGGCCGTACCTACCCTATAGTACTCAGAGCTGTCCGAGGCCGCTGGCTTGACTACACCGAAGATCTTAGTCTACGACATCCACAAGCCTGCCCGCAGAGTTGAACTACAGTGCTGGTTTAGAAGCTGCCCCCACCCTGTAATAGTTACTATAAGGATTATATTAGGGCCCTATTATACTCCTATTATACTACTATTACAGGGTGGGGGCCCTTCTAAGTGGTGGTTTCCAAGAGGGTCCACTATTATGGACTTGGGGCCCACGAAACCATTAGGATGATGGTGGGTTTGGAATCGGCATAGGGTTTAGGGTTTAGCCAACGACATCCACAAGCCCGCCCGCAGGGACTGAAGTGGTGGTTTGGTATCGGAATATCAGCGTCGTAAAGCTCAGACTAGAGTTTTGGGTTACAGTAGAAGCCCAAAAGTTGGAAACCCAATTTTGGGTTACAGTAGAAGCCCAAAAGTTGGAAACCCAATAGCTTCAATCCTTAAGGCTAATCTATAGGGAATCCCAGCTCTATTTGCCCTTAATCAGGTTTTCAACTTTATGGGTTTTGGGTTATGTTGAACTAGTGGTTTGGAATCCAAGCTTGGACTGGGAATTTCGGGCCTTGCTGCTTTCACGACGGTCTTGGGGGCGTTATCCCTAGGAAAAGTACATATGGGAGTTTCCGAAAATAGGGGACCCTAGTATAGTACCTTAAATAGTAGGATCCTTAATCTAAGGACACCAAGATAAGGTGCCCCTATTTTCGGAAACTCCCATATGGGCATAAGGCGGATACTATTTTGCAGAAGGTACTCAGACCTCCATATGGGAGTTTCCGAAAATTAGGGGTAAGTTATTTGGGGGGTCCTTGTAATAAGGATCCTACTATTCAGGGGTACGATATTAGGGTCCCCCATGTTCAGAAACTCGCAGATATGGGCCAAGGCTGGGGACCAAAGGCCTTTCCCAAAGGGTCCCCAAGTATCATTATGGTATATACTTAGACCCGCCCAAAGTACCCTATAAGTATATACCATAATGATACTTAGGCCGGTTTGCGCTGGGATATTTTGGGACTTGGGGGGTACGGTTTTTTCGGCATTTCGACCCATGAGGTTTCCTGGGCGCCTTCCCCTGTGGAGAGCGGCAGATTCCTCCTCCCTGAGGCTCTAAGGACTCGTACTTCAAGGGCCCAAAGACCATACTAGATAAGGCTTTTGGGCGACTTTGAGCCTTAGGGTTGTAGTAGTACTTGGAGGACCATGGGACTTAGTAAGTAAGGTTATAAGTACCTTAATTGGGGTTATAAGTAGTTATAAGTATAGTTACCCTAATTATAACCCTAGTTACTAAGTCCCATGATCCTTTAAGTATGGACCTTCTTGGGAGCTTGCGTCGCCCTGCCAGGGAGACATACGGCGTGATGCTGAAGCCAGCTTGCTGTGAGCTTAGATCTTTGATTTCATGGGTTTCGGTTTAGGGTTTACTTATCGGCTTATGGGCTTCAGGGTTCATGCTGTCGGGATACTTCGGGGCTTCTCGGTTTATGGGTTTACGACGGTCTGCAGTTTACGGGGGACATGTCTTAAGCCACATGTGCAATATTGACTGCTGGCTGCCCTTCATCCGTTATCCCAAGGGTCCATGTACCCAATAGGATATTTGGCCCCAAAATACAGGCCAAACTAATTATACATATATATATATATATATATATATATAATGATCATTATTGTGATGATGGTATATATACATATATATTTATATTTGTATATATAATGGCTAATTAGGGTTATTGCAAACTGCACCTGCTTGCGGCCTGCAGCGCCGCATCACAGCTAACTTCTGGCATCCGTCAGGGTACCGTTGTTCGTGACATCGGTTGCAGACCTTGGGCGTGCGCAATTGAGGTAAAGTGGCGGCGGGAAAGTTGGGTGTCTATAGGCACACCACCCAACCTAAAGACAGACTTGTCGAACTCCGGCTCCTGTGGGCTCACAAGGCATCTAAGCTTTTATGGAATGTGTCTTACCCCTGCAGGGCTTCAGGATCTTGGCATACACTCGCCCATGAGAGCTTGCTTGGGTTTTTGCGTTTTCTTACGATCGGCTAGGCTGTAAGGTTGCACACAGGGCGCCAGAGCTGTGTGCATGGAGTTCTTTGGCGCATTCCAGCTCCGCAGCGCGATGAATACAAGACCGAAGTAGAGCCAAGTGTGGCGAACAACCAGCATCAATGCCGATACTTGTTCGTGCTGCTGCGAGGTAGTCCTTTTCCGGCATGAGATAGGTACCTTTCATGGATTCCGCAACCTGAAGAGCTCATCATGTGGGGGGTTTTGTTGGGACTTACACATGGGCCCTAATTTAGAGAACTACCCTGAAAGTACACTTATCGAAACTTTTACACATCCCTTTTTTATGGAACCCTAAAAAAGGACCCTCATTTAGAGAACTACCCACATTTAGCCTTGAAGCCGCAATAAACCCTAAACCTTAAAGCTCATAGGGATCCTTAGGGGTGTAGGGGGGAGGGGTGTAGGGGACTATATTTCCTTAAATAGGCCTTATTAGTCCTTATTATGGGCCTTAAGGCCCCCTACCCCCCCTCCCCCTACACCCCTAAGGATCCCTATGAAAAGCCCTAAACAAGCCCTTGAACCCTAAACTCCTAAAACAAACTACCCGTGTGCAAAGGTGCCATTCATCTTCCTGCTGCCGAGGCGGACTGGTCTCTTCAACCTCGGGGTTCCCGGTAGGTTAGCACCAAACCACAAACTTTCAAGCATAACTGCGAAAAGGGCTCCTTTAAAGGGATCTATAGGGGTTCCATAAAGGGATCTATAGGGTTTAGGGTTTAGGGTCTACTGAAAGGATCATGGGACCTAGTAACTAGGGTTATAAGTAGGGTAACCATACTTGTAACCTCTTATAACCCCAACTAAGGTACTTATAGCCTTACTTACTAAGTCCCATGATCCTCCAAGTAGGCTAGCACCAAACCACAAACTTTCAAGCATAACTGCGAAGTAGCAGTAATGGTACCTAGTGATACCAGTAGAAAAATGGTAGAGTAGTCTAACATCGTAGGAATAGGAAACCTTACGACGTATGGACACTGCGAGAATCTCAATTGGGAGGCTGATGTAATGGGCGAACATCTCTCTGCTCGACGTCTTACATGACTGTGTAATGTGAGTGCATAGCTTCAGAGTCAGCATATTAAGACAATCAATGAGTGTGAATGATGGCTTTGGGGCTGAGGGTTTCGTGTAGTGGCAGCAAGTTGAAGGTGATATTATGCAACATGGAACACAGAAGACACCAGTGTCGAAAAAGTCCGCACCTTCTGGTCCTTGTCGGATCGCAGGTTAGCGGATCTGTATACATGTGTATGTATACATATATATATATATATATGCACACACACACACACACACACACACACACAGTTCGGGCCCTGTACAACCGAGATTCTGCGGTCGATTTATGGGTTTTAGTGTTAAGGGTTGAGCTGTCAACCCCAAACCCGAAGCCCTGAACGCAACCCCGACCGCCCCAAGCCCTATATTCCTTAGAGCCCTAAGTCCTTATCCCTAAACCCTGAACATGGGTTTAGGGTTTTGACCCCTGAACTACGTGTCCCTAACTTCGAAACTTACTCTAAACACTGCACCCCTACAAACTCGCAACCCGTAGCCCGGAAGCCTACAAGCTCTCAATGCGAAGCCTCGAGTTCGAAGCTCCCTCAGCCATACTTGGAGGATCATGGGACTTAGTAAGTAAGGTTCTAAGTACCCTAGTTAGGGTTATATGTAATTGTAAGTAAAGTTACCCTAATTATAACCCTAGTTCCTAAGTCCCATGATCCTTTAAGTAAACCCCTGAAGTGCACCCTGGAGCCTGTAAATCTTACGCTAAGGGTCCATGTACCCAAACAGTATATACTTGGGCCTTAAATTTGTCCCTACATAGGCGCTTTGGCGCCCAAGTATATACTGCTTGGGCGCATGGACATCACCGTGCACAACTCCTGAACCTAAAAGCACTAAGCCCCAGAAGCAACCAAGTAGGAGAAGCCTCCAAGCTATCGCAGGGAGGCGACTCAGAGGAAGGGCACCCTGTCATAGAGCAGCTTCACACCAGGCCCATGAGGATTGGGGTTGAGGGTTTAGCGAGGTTTTTGGAGCTTGGGGTTTGGGATTTGGGGTCGAGGGTGTTGGGTGTAGGATCTGACGTTTTGCCGACACATTTGATCCCAACACCTTAGGTACGGTCCCCATACAGTAAGAGTCTATGATAGGGCTACTATGAAGGTCCTACTATATCTATATTATGAATATTGTTCAACTATTACTGAGTAGGGGCCGTACCCAACCAACACCATATGGCCGCTCGCGTCCTTAACACCAAACCCCGGAATTCCTTCGCAACGCCTTAGGCTCTAAAGGCCACTTAGGCGTTCTGCACGCAGCATTGAGGGTACTAGCAAGCCAGGTTCGAGTTTGGTGGAGTATATGATATGGCAACTACCTATCGTCGCCATTGTAGCTGCTTTTGTGGGTTCCTTATGGTATCCTATACATGACACTGGTTCCATTTGGCCACAAATGACAAAAGGAACTAGAATGGAGACTATAGGAAGGCAGTTTCGGGTTTGGGCATAACCCTAAACCCTAGACCCTAAACCCTAAACCATAACCGTAGGATTCTTCTACACAGTTTTACCAGGGTTCCAGGAGGGCTTCGTGCAGGCTGTAATATTGGGTTTAGGGTTTAGGGTTTAGGGGTAATAATGTCCCTCGGGCCCGAGTTGTGTTACATCTCGAATTATTCAGGCTCGTTTACTTCTACCACCTTTTATGTTGGAGATTGAGGAATCAGGAGTACACTGCAGGTGTGTGGTGCATCTGTGTATATATACATATAATGTGTGTTTATATCTATATATACGGACGTATAAAGTGTTGTGAGAGCTTCAGAGCTATGGACGGGCCGCATCACAAACAATGTCTTGAAACTCGGCGACCCTATCGACCTTGAGAGTAGTAGAAGCGTAGTTGTGTTGGGCATCGTTCAGCAAGCTAGAGGCACATAATTACTGCTGCATCTTCTGGGCTGCGATCCGCAGGAGAATGAGGAGGGCTTGAGGTTTATTCCGCCGTTACCTAAATGGGTGGTTGTCAATATTAGGGTCCCTTTTTGGGTCCTTATACTAATACGGCACCTAACATTTAGGGTACCCAGAAGGGGACCATAATTTTGAGGACCCACTCGTCACCGTATAAAGGTATCCCGGCTTAGAGCTGAACTTCCCAAGGGTCTTTTGGATTCTGATGTTGTCTTCGTGTTGTTGACTTGCTTTGCCCAGTCTTATGGCATGCACGATGTTGTGATTTAGTTTGAACTGCTACTATACCCAAGCGAGTAAGAATACCGACAGCATGAAGAGGTGGATAGATAGTTAAGTGGATAGACAGATAGCTAGATATAGACAGACAGGTAGATAGGCAGAGAGATAGTTAGCCTTAGACAGATAGATAGATATAGATATAGACAGATCAATAGATAAGTGTTAGGTTTGCTTCCGAAACATTGCTTTGGGTTGGCATCTCAGTGATGTAGAGTATCCGCGGGCTCGAAGGCAGCATGCCTGAACATCGCGACAGCAACAGACTGTACGTACACAACAGCCCGTCAGTCCATGTTTCTATTGTCAATTTGTTCTGTCAGGGTCAGGGATTGTGGCAAATCTAGACACCCTCATTAAACTCTCAGCCATCAAAAAAATAAATCCTAAACCCTAAAGGTTTCTTGTGACCATGCAGGGGCTGCGCCGGTGGCATTTGGGCACGGAGCTCTGTGATCCCTCTGGTGCCGAAGAGCGGGTTGCGGATTCAAAGGTCGTCCTGCTGTGATTGTGACATTTGTCTTGTTTTGCTACATGTGGGGCTTGCAATTTCTCGCGAAGTACTTGTGAACAGCTAGCTTCTTCCGGGTTTGTGTTCCGTTGGAGTGTCTAAGCCTAAAGAGTCCTCGGTACCTATAATATAGTAGAATGGAGGGTTTCTATACTAGGAACTACTATCATGATTGGGATAAGTATTGCCCATATAGGTGCTTAGGACCGTTTGGGAAAGGTATGGGCAGACTACCCTGACCCTGCCACCATGATCAAACCTCTTGCCCAAGCCTCTGGGCCCTCAAGCCCCAAACGCCGTAGGACTCGTAAGCCAAAGAACACAATTTCCACATCAACGGCCTGGGGTTGCAGTTTAGTAATTGTTTCGGGTTTAGATTTGGGGAATTAGACTCGTAGCACTAAAATCCGAAAGGCCCTTCCACATAGGATACTGGAGGTATAGGACTACGGAGCCAAAAGCAATTCAAATAACCATCGAAATGCAAGCTTTTCGGGTTGATGCTTTCTCCGAGCTGTGCAGTAGCTTGATTGGTAGTGAGAGCCACATCTTTGCAGAGAAGGCTTGCGTTTTGCTCCCGGACGGCAACGTTAGCCAGAGCCTCAATTTGTCAATTTGGGGATTGGTGCAGACATTGTGCGAGGCTTGTGCTTGCTTCTGTCAGTTTCTTGGCCGATGCCGATCACCCGCGATTGACAAGGCTACGCCAGAGCATAGAACCTGAACCTCGGAATATACGACACGGCGTGGTCCTAAACCAATATCGATCGAAATAAGCTAATATAAGTGTAATGCTACATGAGCCGACTAACGCAAGCTTGCTCAGCTTCAACAGGATGCTGTCGAGGAACACCATCTCGGCAGGGTTTGTTGTGCTCCCAGTTTGAGGGTTCGAGTTGGTCCCTGAGCCTCATCGACAACGAGCCTGCTCGTGCGAATGCATCCCCAAGCCAAGGAGTCTGCGAAGCCTGTGGTTTATAGAGGGCCACTATAGGAATCCTCTATCAACCCTAAACGTTCTAAGGTCTATAGGATGATTTAGGGAGCCCGAATCCCTACCTGGACCCTAAGGAACCTACCTTTTCAAGGTTCCCTAATATTATTTTTTTGCATAAGTCCTTAAAAGGTAGGTTCCTTGGGGTTAAGGACAACCCCGATGGGCCCAGGATGTTACCTCACGCCGCTGGGAGAACCCGACCTCCAAGATGAGGAGGTGGCTGCTTTTGAGCTTCGGAGTAGGGTTAAGGGTATCTTAGGGGTGCTTAACATTATTTTTGAATTTTTTGTTATTATAATTCCTAAGAAACAGCTAAAATTAAAATTGTTGCTAGGGTTTTAACCAGGACCCTTCTTGTACCCTCAAATAGGGATTATGGTCCCAAATAATGGGTACTTGGGGTCTAATACGGGGTAGATGGAGGGTCTAGGAAGGATATTTTGGGCTTCTACCCATAGGCTCCATCGTATTTCCTGTTGGGGTTCATTTTTAGAATCCTATGAAGTAATCCCAAAAGGGAGCTACTACGGAGCCCATGAGTAAGCATGTCATGGGCGCAGGGTGCCATCAAAGCCCGTTGGGAGCGTCAGAGACTTCTTCCAGTCATGGAGCGTCTGTCTACCAAAGGTCACCAGTTTTCGTGATAAGGAGCCCGCAATACGCATGAGCTCTATGTCGAGAATGATTGAGTTTCTATAGCAGGAACTATTATTCTGGTTTGGGACAGTATCCCTAAATCCTTCACCCGAACCCGAACGGCTGAGTCCCGGGTTTGGGTGACTCGGCAGTGAGTGAGTAAATATGAGGGCTTGACAAATCAGCTTGACAAATCACCATTGAATTACAGTTCCGTAGGGTTCCCTAAGGCTCCATGTACCCTTATAGTAGATACTTAAGCCCCAAAGTAGTCCCTATATAGGTACTTTAAGGTCTAAGTATCTACTATAACGGTACATGGAGCCTTAGGGGTTAGGGCTGATAGGGTTTAGGGTCGAGGATCCGCTTGCTACTTGTTGGTTCAGTGCGACGGACACGGCGACTTGCAGTTTACACTAGCGGCCCTACTATTCTGAAGCTTCCCTATAACTTGCTCTACCAAAAGCTTCCTTTTGTACAGACCCTCTCAATTCTATCTTGGCGTTGATAATCTGGGTTGTGCTTTGGGATAGTTTTCAATTTCCCTTATTTCCTTATAAAGGGAACGTATTTATAAATGTTTTCAAAGGATTTAAAGCGCAACCCAGTAATAAGCACCTACGAAACAGTAGGTTGTGGTAGTGAATGTAGTTAAGGTAGAGCAGATTGCGTTAGATTCAGGGGTTTTGTTGGGGAGTAGAATTGGCGGAGTGGTGGTTGCTGCTGTCAAGGAAGCCAAAGAGATAGTTCCTAAGAGCACGGTTTAAGAACGCTAAGCCGATCCTCAAAAACCACCGCCAAGTAATTCGATTTTTTCGGAGATCCCTAAGATAGGTCCGAAATGTTTACTTCCTAGACCCTACACCCGACATGTTGAACCCTAAGCCCTTCGGCGCATGACCCACAAGACCCTGAACCCTAACCTCAAAAACCCCTAAACCCCAAAACCCGTAAACCCCCAAGCCCCCTAAACCTTAAACCCCAAGAACCCCTAAACCCTAAACCCCAAGAACCCCTAAACCCTAAACCCCAAACCCCAAAAACCCCTCAACCCTATATGCCGTTTCAATGGCACTTGCCAGGCCAATGTCGTTCTGGATGCTCCGATTCAGGAGGGCGACGAGGATGAGGATGAAGAAGTCGGGGAGCTGAGTGGGGGTTTCCAAAAATGGGGACCCTAATATAGTACCCTAAATCCCTAAATAGGAGGATCCCTATTATTACAAGGACCCCAAATAAGGTACCCCTAATATTCGGAAACTCCCGAGTCGGTTTAGGGGGTTTAGAGGGTTTTGAGGGTTCAGGGTTTATGGGGTTCAGGGTTAGGGTTTATAGGGTTTAGGTTTATAGGATTTAAGGGTTTAGGGTTTAGAGGGTTTAGGGTTAGGGGGTTTAGGGTTAAGGGTTAAGGGCCTAGGGGGCCTGAGGGTTGTATGCATGTAGGAGTTTGGTCGGTTTTTGGACATGTTCATTTCATCGTGGGACGGCAGCGGCCCCCGCCTTGTGGGGTGCCAAGTCACCTGGCGCGGCTCGAGGGACGGCAAACTTCCCGTAACAGGGAAGCCTGCATGTTTAGCAATAACGTCCTTGTTCCATTATGCTACAATAGAGCCAAGTACCGTATTCAAGGCCACCGTATTTTGGATCAGAACCTTCCACGCAGGCTCTGTTTTTGCGCTCCAGAGCAGGGCTTGGCCGAACATGATCGTGCCAATGCAGATCCCTCCAGATGATGACGCCGAGCACGTCGACGTCGTTGCTCCGCTGCCCAGTGAGATACAAATCATTGCAGCGGCACAGGAACAGGACCCCAAAGAAGCCACGGCGTTGAGTGCCTTGGGAACCACATGGTCCTTTTACATAAGTAGGGGCCCTTTACCAATAAGCTATGAACCCATTTTTTGGTAATATCGGGGCCTTAACAATTACCTATACTCTTTTGGCGGTTCCTTATTACAGTATGACTTTGGTATAATGGGCCCAAGGCCCCTAGAAGATATTTTGGGGCGTTCTTTTCGCCCTTCTAGGTGAAGACTTCCTCGCTGAACTGGCGGGCTGCATGGTGCCAATCTCTCCCGACCTGCTCCGGGCTACAAAAGCAGGCTTAGGGACCCGTAAACCCTAACCCCTAAACCCCTAAACCCTTAAACCCCTACACCCTAAACCCCCAAACCCCTAAAAAGCCCTGGACCCCTGAGCCCCTAAACCCCTGATTAAACCCTCAACTTTTTTGGGGGCCCTGCAGGTGATGCTTTCCGAGGATTTGGCAAAGCCCTCCGAGGCTCGAAGAAACTGTATCAGTTGCCAAGGTCCTGTTTGGTACCCTTTTTCCTTTTGGGTTCCTTTTTTAAGACCGAATAGCAGTAAAAAGGTTCCCTTTATCATTAAGGGTCTACTCGGGAACCTCGTTGCTTACGTGGATGTTTAGGTCGCTTTGCCCTTTATTGGTTCACGACCCTTTGTCAGTTGAACAGTTGATCTGCCTGTCCCGTAGTGCCATAGGAACTCTGCACGTGAGGTTGAGCTACCAAACCAAGAAGATCAACCAGTTTTGGAGTCATAGCTGGCATGGTTCAACTTGGCGAAAATACGTGACGCTCCTGCTCTTCTACAATGGCGCAGCTGCGGCGGCCGTCGCATGTCTTGGCGCGGCCGTGGCATCCGTCCTATTTGCGCTAGAGCTGTTACCGGTCCTTCGTGAACCGAACAAAGTTACGTATTGGCAATCGTTTTGGGCAGCACTTGTCGGCATGATCCTGTACCTCTTGGTATTGTTGTTCTATAGACCACAAGTCCCTATCTTCTTGGATGTGATCTGCATAGACCAGTCGAATCCACGACGCAAAGGACAAGGGTTGCTGAGCATGGGTGCGTTCCTAAAGGCTTCACGCTCAATGCTGATTCTTTGGGATGCCACGTATAGCGATCGCTTGTGGACAATGTTTGAGTTTGCTGCCTTCTTGACTAGCCGCGAGAAGGGCGAGACGCCAAAAGTCGTTTTGAGGCCCACGATCCTAGGCCCTTGCTACTAGGTCTTCCAGTGGGCCGCTTTTCCATGTTTCTGGGTTCATAAAACGCCCCGAACCCCAAACCCTCAAACCAAAGGGGATCGGTGACTGGGGATCCTAGGCTACCTTGTGCTGATGCTGACTTTGATCCTCGCTCTCACCATTGGTGACAATGTCGCTTGTGACCTCTCGGCCAGCGGCCGCTACTCAGTGTGGGCATTTCAATTTCTGATTTGCTGTGGCGGCCTCTCCGTGAACACGGCTGCTTTCAGGGCATACTTTCGAACAGTGAGTAATTCCCAGAAAAAGCTGGCGGGCTGGCGTCTTGCAGACGTGAAATGCAGCTGCTGCGACACCGGACATGTTCGTGGCGGTGGAATCTGTGACCGAAAGGTTGTAATGAAGTGCATCCACCAGTGGTTTGGCAGTCTTGACGATTTTGAATCCCACGTGCGAACGGAGATCAGGGACACTTTTGTACACGAGCAGTCCAGTCAGCCCTTCACATATACCCAAGTTGTGATTGCTCTGGTCCCAGTTATTTGGAGCTACCTGGACAGAGCCTCGGCACATGCTCGCTTCACTTCCTGGGATCCATGGATGCAGGCGGCCAGTCAAATCGCTCGAGGACTAGCTTGGTGGTTGGGCGTTGGCCCAATGGCCTTTCTAATCCAGTGTCGGCTGGCATGTCGCTTCCAGAGGGAGTCCAGATGGCCACGATGCGACCCCTTGCTGAACTTGCTGCCACTCCTCGCTGTCGTGCTCGTCGTTGTTCTGGGGGTTGTAACAGAGCAACTCTTCTTCAAACTCACACTCTTTAGGCCCGGACACGAAGACAACATGCTCTTGTTCGCCCTGATTGTGATCTGTCTAGCCTGGTTGCTTTACGCATGTGTTGGGGCCGGGCCAAGGCTAGTCCACGCGGAAAGTGCATGAATCTGGGCTCATGTTCAGGAGCTCGATAGGGATCCATAGTGAATAATGAATAATGCGGATAAGGCGGGGGGTAAGTAACAACAAGAGCCCAAATTCAGAGCCGTATTCGCCACAGTTGCGGTGGTCTTAATTTTCAGGAAGGCCAAGTTGAGCACGGCCTCTCTGAAGCTCATCTGAATCTGGGCGTTCCTTACAAAGGAATCGTTCTCCGTTTTCGACTAGACTATGACAGGGATGAGCGGGGGAACGCAACAAAGCACACGAAGGCAGCAACAATCGCCTTCGTGTGACTCAATGACTACGTCGGCAATACTGCGTAATTCTAGTTTGTACAGTAACTCTTGCCAGACATAGTCGTAAAGGTGCTGCCTCGACGGTAGGGTTTTCTTGTAGCTACTGTCTTCTGAGCTGGGAAAATAATGGCATGCAGCGACCTTGACAGTGACTCTGTCACCATGCCGACGCAGAGACTGGTCTTAAGAGATCTCAACAAAGTCTTGCTGTTGCTCTTCGCGGTGTACATGTGCATGTCGCTGAGAGATGCTTGTTGCATTGAACCTGTTTTTTCTGTCGACTATGCAGGCTTTCGTGATCTGAGCAAATAATTCTCCGAGCCATGGACAAATGGAGGGTTCTGTGAATTAGGGTCCCGTCTTTGGATACTGTCAAAGACGGCATCACTGAGGACCCTAATTTAGACAACTACGTCCGGCGGCGGGGCTGAAATGCCTTAGTTCTCACGGCGAAAGAGTGCACAGTCCGCAGGGGGTGGGGTTTTGGCCGTTGTTTGCATAAGCCACTGCCTGATGGGCTGGATGAAGTATTCTGGATTGTTTTGCAGCTCGTGTGAGGATGGTGCTCTGCGTAGGATCTGGTCTGCGGTCTTACATGAGACCGTGCGTGGCTTGGGGTTCAGGGCGGATCATGGCAGTGACTAGCAGCAACATGATCCCCATGCGAAAACTGATCAGCAGCTTTTCCAAACCGAGGGTGCATACCGTCTAGTGTCCTTACGACAAGACGGATCCTGCTTTCTAGTGGCTCATTTTCTGAACCTCCCCACTCCTCATGCAATTGGGCCGCAAGCAGCTAGGCTTAGCGGCCCAGCAGCTCTCAACTCAAACGCTTCTCGCACCTTCGACTCTTTAACCCCAGCCCTGGAACCTAAATCCGTAACCCTTAAACTGAACCCTAACCCTACGCCTCCAAGGACCTTATTATAGGGTCCTTAAGGGGTCTAGGGCTCTAACGATGAGGTCCTTGGAGGGATAGGGTATCCCCTAAACCCCAAAGCCCAGACCCCTAAATGTTCAACTCAAGCCTTCCACTCTTCACAAACGAACTTCAGTCGAAACTGAGGCCGCTGGGGAAGCGCCAGGACCCGGTGAGGAGCCGATATCTGCATTCGGAACCCGACCCCAGTCTTTACTTCTCTTCGGAATCATGATGTTTGTTTTAAAGTTTTGTTCGTATAAATTAACGCCCAAGAGAATATTAAGACTATTCGTTCTTCTGGCTTGAGGGGGGGTATAGCAATACAGACGTCGGAGTAAGCAGGAATACCCACAGACTTACAGTCTCTATGACGCACTCACTCACCTTATTCCGATCCACTGAGTGGATATTGCCTTGCAAGGCATGTGCTAGCTTAGCTATTTAAACTAGGGTCTGTGTTAGGGTCCTTCGCTTCTAAGGGTGCCATGATACTTTGGGGACCCAAAGGGACCTTGATTTAAACAACTACCCATATGTTTATGTGCTTTCGCGGGCTGCGAGCATTAGACGTCGGCGATTGGCACCATCGTGAATACCTCGAAATCCTATTCTAATCATTAAAGTTAGGCCCTCTATATTACTTGGGCCTCCGACCGTCGGAACTGTACTACACTGGCGTGAATTCGTAGTAGAGAGCTCCAATGTGCCAATATGACTGTATTATGCTACAATGATTAGCCCCAAGGCACAAGGCCATATGCTGATTGCTCAGGCCTCTATGGGGTCAGTTTTTGGGGGTGTGTTTCTCCCAAGCTTTTGGATTCCAGAGTTCGGATAAGTTGGAATAATTCAAGTGTTGGGTGTTGGTTCAGGGTTGGTACTAGGATGCTCATTTCCTGCGTCTTGTTGGAAGGACGTGCAAGTAGGGTACCTTATTCGGGGGTTCGAATCCTTCTCGCGAGGGGCTGTGCTTGGGCTTGGTATTGGGTCCAGCTGCAGCCCCAATGACCTCCACTTCTACTGGTGCCGAGACCTCTAAGATCCCCTAAGTAATGATCTTTTCTAAGAAATTCATGGTTGTAGCTCTTTTGGGCTTCGGGTAGGGTTCAGGGGTATGGGATTCAGGGCTTGGTGTTCGGGGGTTGAGGTTTCCGGGTTTGGTTCTGGCTGGGTTCCAGCATGCCAGGTTTGCGAACAGACCATTTGAGCTGTGCCCCGAGCTGTCCTCCTGCCTTCTAGAGAGTTACCAATGTAATATGTGGGCCTAAACTTAATAGTTACCAATACTTTTTGGGGGATTCCTTGTCGTAATTATACCATAAGATGCTCAGCAAAACCCGTATTGGAATTATTAAGGCCGCTACAGATGTGTTGACCGTGTGCTGCACTAGCCCTCCGAGGTATCCGCCTGCTACACTCCAGTTCTCTTTACAGGGGCCTTGTGTCACTGTAGCTTCAACACCCGAGACCCTATGAACCCTGATTCCTATAAACCCTAAGCCGTATTAAGCCCTAAGCCCTACAAACCCTAAACCGTATAAACCCTAAACCCTAAAGCGTTAAATCCTATAAACCTAAACCGTATAGTCTCAGCTTCAGAGGTCCATTTGGTCACTTGCTTTCTCTGACATTCTGGCTTGAAGCCGCTCCGCAGTCCCTCACTGAAGCCTAGAGGCTAGCCGTTTCTACCTGGAGGTTCATGGGTAGCTAGAAGTGGGGTTATAAGTGGGGTAACTATACTTATAACTCCTATTAGCTAGGGGACTTATAACCCTCCTTATAACTACCCATGAACCTCCAAGTAGGGTGTTTTTTTTGTTTACTTTCTTTTTTCCGAACACGATCCCTCCTAGAGAAGTATGACGAAAAAACAACAGGAGTGAATATTGAAGGTCGTGGGAATCCCTGGGCATTTGGCTCCGGCTTAGGGTGACTGAGCCCAAACCCAGAACTAAGTCGTAGGCCCCTGAGCTTCAGCACGACAGACGGCACCACGCCTAAACCGGAGGAGTTTGCGAAGGCTTTGCAGGTGAACACAGCAGCCCGCTCTGGCGCGTTTTTAGAAGCTGGGTTTAGGGATTACGGTTTAGGGGTTTAGGGTTTAGGGAACTCATGGATGTATGTAGGGCTTGTTTACCACTCGGGGTTCAGCATTTTAAAGTGTGTGAGGTGCAGGTTGCTTGATCTTTGAGAGATCTTTATCCATAATCCCTAAACCCCGTAAACCCTAAACCCACCCTAAAGGAATTATAGGATCCCAAACCAAAACAGAACCCTTATCAACGGCTGCCTCTCCTGCCTGCCTCTTGTGCTGCCATTTCGAAGGGCATGGCCGGAAGAGTTGGAAGTGACAGACAAAAGTCCAACCATTATGATTGCTACTTGGCAGTATCACCACCATTGTTGTCGCTTCTGTTGTCATGGCGATTGCTATTGTTACTGTTGCTATTTATATACATCGGGGGTAGCAGCATTCATGTGAATGACAATAATTCTGATAATGAGGTTCTTGTGATAAACACCTCCGAACGTGGAGCCCTAGTGTTGAGAAAGTCCCAGCTGTGTGGCATGGCCTCTCTCTGCGAAGTCATATATATGTAGGGTCCTTTAAGGGTCCTTTTAAAGGGAACTGTAGAACTATAGGGATTCTATAAGGGTATAGGGTTTAGGGTTCATGGGTAGTTATTAGTGGGGTTAGAAGTCCCCTAGTATTTTTTATAGTTATAGTTACCCCGCTTATAATCACACTTATAGTTATCCATGAACCTCCCAGCACTGACGACGGAATCTATGAACGCTGGTTTAGCGCAGTGTGCATGTACACTCAACACCCAAATCTAATCATTCGTATCCCTACAATACCGATCCGAAGAAGCTCAGATTTGTTCTTTAAGTGGACTACTCAGCTACTCTTCCTACTCCCTCAAAGCCCAATAAGTCCTTAAGCCACAAGTATGATTTATATGGTAGCTTAAAGTGAGCTCCTCAACAAGCCTCGAGAAAGAAAGAGAGAAGAACCTTAAAGGCGCTACCAAACCCTTAACCCAACATGGGTGGCTCTCTAAATTAGGGTCCAGTTTTTACGGGTGCCGTGCTACTTTGGGGACCTTGAACCGGACACGAATTTGGAGAAGTACCCGCATGCTGCTGCCAGACATACAGCTTCTCGTTGACGCAGCTGGTCATGCGCTCGATGTGCTCTTGTTGTTACTGCGGCCATCAGCGATAACAGAGCCCAAATAGGAACATATGGGACTGTAAATGGCTCTATTAAATTCTATTAAGGGCTTAGTCAGGGTTTAGGGTTTATTAAGATGAGAGCATTGTGCCGCTTGGACTCGGGTCTTCCATTGGACGGCTCCGTTGAGGAGTCATGGTTGGTTACTGTGGGACTTTTAAGGATAGACTCCACGTATGGGAAGCGGTGTAAAGGTTGTGAGTTTTGGTGTTAAAAATGATAGGCAGGAGTGCTCGTAATTCTCTTCATGCGCGTCACTTTGCACAGTTGCTTCGTTCGCATCACTTTGTAGAAGCATATGGAAAGGGCATCTGTAGCGGTGGTTCGTAGCAACATTATTGAACCGCTTAGGACTAGTCAACCAACAACCACTCCATCCTACTACCCAGCCATTCACCGCATCAACAGCACAACAGCATCGTCACCACCCACCACCAACCACCACCACCACCACCACCACCACCACCACCACCACCACCACCACCACCACCACCACCACCACCACCACCACCACCACCACCACCACCACCACTTTTGCTACTACGGA